ACTTAACAAGAGTATTCACCCGTGTGATATGTGGGTAATTGCCCAGCAATGGGTGCCAATCATAACTGCAGGAATTTAAAATGTGCAGCCAGTCACTCAGAATGACTTGGCTTACACATGGCTGAACGCTGAGATGACAATGTTTTGAAAGGCACAACTATGGCCAAGCTGGTAAATTTGAAGATTTTATTTTTTTACAAATATCTAGTTTCATTCATAATGCTATTTTTTTTATTGGCTCCAAATTCCATTTTGATGAATTTATGCTGAAGCACACAGCTACTCTTTTCTCCACATAAAATCAGGGGCAATGTGCTGTAATCTAATGCACGCAACCTGCCGACAATAAAAATGTCATACTTTGCCACAGAATTAGTCTCCGTCGAAGATAAAACATTTAATTTGGTAGCGTTAAATGCCAAAACCGTTCCATGTTCACCCGACAGTCTCAACCGGAACATCCACACATAATATTTACTTTCGCAAGGTCACAATATCCACATATTTACTTTCACTAGATCAACATGATTGGTTTACATTTTTATCATCAATATGTAACTTTAATCTGAAAAGAGATCGGATTTGTCAAGTTTTGCTTTGAACAGAAATGCACCCTCCAACTTTGTTGGAAGTTCCTCTGCACTCTCGTGCAGTGTTGCCAACTCAGCAATTTTGTCACGAGATGTAGCAACATATTTCTGATTAACATCTTTCTAGGACGATTACATTACGCGCATTTAGGTGCGATTCCAAATGTGTATTCAGGATCCAGTATCAGATCACGATACAGGTAGTCCTCTACTTACGACGGAGATGCGTTACGACGACCCCATCAAAAGTCAAAAATATCGTAAGTCGAAGATGGCCTAGCCTACCCAGGAGTCTTAAATGGTGATAATTTAGAAAAACAGAGCAATTTAAAGTACCGTACTGTATAAACTACATACTGTATGTATTTATTAATTACAATACTGTATTGCACAGTAAAATGTAAAGTAAAAAAACAAAGTAAATGCTTAGCCTACCTATATGAACTGCAATTTAGTAGAAAGTTTTTTCAGGAAACAATCCTATCTGCATCACACAAGGCGGGAGATGCGTACAGTACATCCCGGCAGCGTCCCAACGTACAGTATCGTATCTCGTACGCTGCTGCGTTTGCCTGCCGCGCGAAATTTAAAATATTTTACAATTTTGTCGTATCGCCATCGTAAGATCGAAATATCGTAAGTCGGACCATCGTAACTCGGGGACTGTGTTTAAACAACGTGTTTAAGATTGCACTGTATATGTAACTTGTCAAGTGACATTTTTGATGACTTGAGGTCTATCTGGAGATATCTAGTGACACCTAGTGACCCTTCGAGGTTCAATTTTGATTTAAAGCTTTCGTGACTGCAGGGATTCATCTTCTTGGTTCTTTCGGTAAAGTCACGTAGAAGGGAAGTAATAAAATAATAAAAATAAAACATAATAAAATTATTCTCACGACGTTTCGGCCACAACGCAAGCAGCCGTCCTCAGGTGAAAACCAGGTCCGTCGAGGCGACAGAGTCTGACTCTGTCGTGAGAATAATTTTATAATGTTTTATTTTTATTATTTTATTACTTCCCTTCTACGTGACTTTACCGAAAGAACCAAGAAGAAGACCTTCGAGGTTCGTTTGGCGACTTTCCACTTCAAGGAGCTGGCAACACTGCTCTGGTATGTACGTATGCCGAACTTATTTCCCACCGTACGTAGCCATCCGTGTTTCCACCCCCTTGTTGTGTGGCCTCGAGTGCAAGTTACCTGCGGTAGGAGATGTGAATGTGTCGCTTGAGTAGTGGCCTCATCAGTGTCATGATGCGACCTCCATAGCACCAGAAGGTCGGGTAGTATGGCTTGTTGACGATGGGGCAGTGGCTCTCAAGGAAGTGGCAAAAGCCCTGCCCGCCAACTAGGATTGGTTTCTGGTGTGTCCGTGCGTGTGTGTACGCGTTCATGAGAACATAAGAAACAACAAAAACTAATGATCTTGCATTAAGATATACAATGGAGTGGATTGCGGGACACAATGATTGCAAACATAGGCAGGTTAATGACATAATGCAAGGCTTTTTTTCTGTAATTCAGGGATATTCAATTTTCTAGATACAGTACTGCAATTATACATAATATAAATCATATTCTTGGTTCTTTCGGTAAAGTCACGTACAAGGGAAATAATAAAATAATACAAATATAAAACAATACAAATTCTCACGACGTTTCGACTGCAACACAAGCAATCATCATCATGTGTGAAATCCACAGCAAGAAATTTTTAATTTTTTAAATTATTTTATTACCTCCCTTCTACGTGACTTTACCGAAAGAACCAATAATATGAATCCTTGCAGACACGAAAGCTTTAAATACAAATATAAATCATGTTATTAAAGTTGTGTCTATTAGGCTGGGGGGGAAGGCGGGATATTATTATCATTATGCAACAAAACAGATTGCTCACCCGCCCAAACTTGACATGTTACAAAAGAGTTGCATAACTCATCGGATTCCTCCTGCAGTTTAAATACATATTCGGATTCTGATAAAAGTAACAAGGCTTTTGGTTGCAGGTAAGTACTCAAACAAGAACGTAACATCCACCGTCTACGGCGCGCACACACACACAGAGACCTGTCAACGACGTTTGAATAAGGGGGAAAACCAAATGCTGAACAATGTATTCGGCGTAAAAAAAAACATCAAAAGCATAACTGCGAAAGTAAAAAACATCGATGCTCCAATGTAACACGATTTTTGTTCCTGGGTAGTAAGTGTTATTTCCTAATTGCTTATGCCTCAAACGTATAGAAAATGGCTATTATTCCCCACAAACTTTGCTTTTGTGACCAGGACTACGTGAATGAATGACACAAATGCACACGTTTTGTCATCGAAAATAGGTAAATCTCTAAATATCGCTGTCCTGGTCACAAAAGCAAAGTTTGTGGGAAATAATAATAGCCAATTTCTGTACTTTTGAGGCATAAGCAATTAGAAAATTACGCTTACCACCCAGCTGCAAAAAAAATGTTGTTACACAGTGTTATCATAACAGCCGTGGGTCAACACACCCGAACCAAAAACATCGCCGTTACCGACGTGATCAATATTTTGTTATCGTCCACAAACCCCCACGAACATCACCGGTGTGAAACAACGTACGCACAGCAAGCCTGTCAGTTTCGCTTGTGACAGAACGAAGATTGAGGCGCATGAGAGAAACACACGAAGGTTCATGGAGGAATCGTTCTGTCAAGAGGCGACTGACTGAAGTTCGACGTTCAAGGAGAGACCCACTGGCAGCTGAGTGATGGAACGCGTCCCATAAATCATCGCCTGCGGATCTGCAGCGATGAAATCATCACATGTGCAGGTGTTACGTACACAAATATATAATAGCATCATCACCACACGATCGTAAGAGATGGCAGCGGCTTGGGCGAGGCCTTCATCCAGCAGTCGATTGATCCTGGCCGATAACGCGTTCGTAAACACGGTCAATGACACTGTGACATAGTTACACGTGCTGCCGAGCCACCGGCGTCTCGCCTAGCCGGCCTGCGGGAAAGGGCGCGCCTCCTCCGGCACGCCGTGTAGGCCGAGGGGGGGTGGGTGGGTGGAGAGTTCCTCCTGTAAAGATGATAGGGTTGGGGGGAGCGGGGTGCATACCTTGACGACTCTGAGAAAATACTGCAGCATGTAGAGGGACAGGCAGCCCGCCAGCAGCGACAGCGCCAGCATGCTGCTGCTGCTGCCGGACACGGCGCACACATCACTGCGCTGTGCCGGCCACACACGGCAGCGGCCTGACGTCCATTGAGCCAGGCTGCCCGGCGGCTTTGCCAGATCAGAGGGAGTTTTTTTGGTTTTAACCTCTGTGGTTGGGCTTCTACTTGTCAGCTCAGAGGTTTTTTAACCTCTGTGGTTGGGCTTCTATTTGTCAGCTCAGAGGTTTTTTAACCTCTGTGGTTGGGCTTCTGCTTGTCCTTTCAGAGGTTTTTTAACCTCCGTGGTTGGGCTGTTGGTTGTCAGTTCAGAGGTTTTTTTAACTTCTGTGGTTGGGCTGTTGGTTGTCAGTTCAGAGGTTTTTTAACCTCTGTGGTTGGGCTGTTGGTTGTCAGTTCAGAGGTTTTTTAACCTCTGTGGTTGGGTTGTTGGTTGTCAGTTCAGAGGTTTTTTTAACCTCTGTGGTTGGGCTGTTGGTTGTCAGTTCAGAGGTTTTTTTACCTCCGTGGTTGGGCTTCTGCTTTTCAGTTCAGAGGTTTTTTTTTTACCTACGTGGTTGGGCTTCTGCTTGTCAGTTCAGAGGTTTTTTTTACCTACGTGGTTGGGCTTCTGCTTTTCAGTTCAGAGGGTTTTTTTACCTCCGTGGTTGGGCTTCTGCTTGTCAGTTCAGAGGTTTTTTAACCTCTGTGGTTGGGATTCTGCTTGTCAGTTCAGAGGTTTTTTTAACCTCTGTGGTTGGGCTTCTGCTTGTCAGTTCAGAGGTTTTTTTACCTTTGTGGTTGGGCTTCTGCTTGTCAGCTCAGAGGTTTTTTTAACCTCTGTGGTTGGGCTGTTGGTTGTCAGTTCAGAGGTTTTGTTTTGTAACCGTCGTGGCTTGGCGACCGCTTGCCATGTCAGAGGTTTTCGCCGCGCGTGTTTTCTAGGTTTTTTGTTTAGATTCGAGTGAAGTTTGGGGCCGTCCATAAATGACGTCACGTACCTGGGGGGGGTTGGGGGTCAGACATTTGTGACGATGTGTGACGAGGGGGGGAGGGGGTTTGAGAAATGTGACGTCACATCAAAATGCGCAACTTTAAATAAATGTAGACAACACGTTCTACTTAATTAAATATACTTTTTAATGTTTTCTCCTACAACATCAGAGTGCAGCGCCACATTAAATACGCACTACAATGACAATAGTTTAAAGCGATTCGAAGCATGTTTTATTTATGGGGGCGGGGCAGAGCTTTGTGACGTCATATTTGAGGGGGGGGTCTGACTTTTTGTGACGCCGTGTGACGAAGGGGGGGGGGGGGAGTCAAAAATCGTCCAAAATCGCGTGACGTCATTTATGGACGGCCCCTTTAGAGAGTAAAGTGTAATATTGCGTTGGTGGCAGTGGAGCACAAGCTCAAATAACAATAACGCATGTGTAGTGGGTTCTACGGAGACACACACTTGTTCTTGTAGACAACACGTTTATTACGACACCCCAACAGGGCTAACTACATAAACGTACACTGGATCTCCACCGAGGTGATAACTACACGGTGAACTGGACCACAACGGGGTAACTGCATAACCGGGTCAGTCAGCAACACACTGCCTGACCCACGATGCCGAGCGTAACATCGAAGACCGAGGATCGAAGAGACGTCGCACCGACGGGTTCCATTCCAACAGAGCCAAGAACCCTCTCGGGACTGCCCCTTGATGCTCCTGGGCGTGGCCTGGATCCGACCTCGGCGACGCCCCCTTCTAGATCCTACTTTTACACTCAAATTCCCTGCTATTTCTACAACAGTGGTGCAGCTGTAGGCAGTAGCGAGTCCTCAAAGTTCCGGTGCTGGGATTCTTCCAGCGTGCCCTTCATGGCACGGTACCGCTGCGCCACCGCTCTCCAGTCCAGCACATCCTCGATTCGGCATGGACGGACGCGTTCCCCGACACGCCGAGACTCTGCCAGAACGACCAGGTGGTTAGAAAAGGAGACACCGTTACACCGGTCACGACTCTGGGATGAAACGTCATTGTGTATACGTACAGCCCGTTAGATGAGGGTCTCCACACGCCGTTCTTGATCGTAGTATGTTATGGTTAATACACCACAGTAATAAACAAGGCGGCCTGCCGGATTCGAACCATGGACCTCTGCAAAAAGTGGTGAACACACTACCGATAAGGCCATATCATCACCCAGGTGATGTGGCCTATCCAGGCTCTATCTATTGAAAATAACTTCTGCTGCAGATCCCCCAATGTGCCAGCACCAGCACTGCGTGAAGTCGCCGTGCCGAGTCACGTGCTACTTGCCAACCTGCCTGGGTTCGCGCTGTCAACGTGGTGCGTGTCACAGGTACGGTACCCGCAGGGGACACTTTGGGCCTGCGGCGGGCGAAGCAGTGGAGCCAGCTGGCGGTGGAGTGCACGGGGATGTCGATCGAGTGTGAGTTGGACAGTCGGTCCACCTCCTCCCCCCCGTCTGCCAGGGATTCACTCGGCAAGTCGACAGTGCCTGCGTAAGAGCAAGGATAAACATTTCAGGGGAGAACCATAGTACCCGGGGGACTTAATAGTACTGAGCACTGCCCCCTTCGGGACTCTATTAGTGTGGTGAGTGCTGCATTCAAGACAATGATTTACGTGCTGCCCCTGAAGATTAGTATACAAAAATATGCAAAAAATAGTACAATTCAGTGATGGCGGTCATGACCTTTCCTCATATGCGCGGGGGGTGAAAGCTCATGCAGAATGCACAATAGGCACAAGCAGATCGCATTGTTACTCATTCTGTTCAGCGTTTATCGTTCGTATAACGTTTGTTTAACATTAGTGCGTCTTGCCCCCCCCCCCCCCTTGAGTTATTGTCTGCCCCACTTTAAACAAGGTCACGCTACAGGATTGCTGTATTTTCTTGCACGGTAGCAGACGATATTTTTCAGTTTTTCCATAACATGTGCGTATTTATGTGTGTGGACCATTTGGCAGTAGTGGGGAGTGGTAGCGCGCTGCGCTGCAAACCCCGCGACTCGAGTTCCATTCCCGCTCACAGCCAACACCAGTGACAATTCTCTGAACCGGTCACAGGCCTCCCCTAGGTCGACTCAGCCTCAAATGAGTACCCGGCGCTAAATGTAAACATCGCGACCCGGGAGACAAAAAGTGGCCAGGCGCGGTGACGGCCACCCACCCCCTCGTGTGCCGCGCCGGCCTTCATAAGTGCTACTCGCTAATAGCACTTGCCACACCAAGAGCCTTGCCAGGCTAACACGGGGTATCTTTGCCTCTTGTTTGTTTGGACCGCCTGGTCCGTACCCTTCCTGCAAGCGCAGCGCCGGAGCTGCCGCAGCAGCTGCGTGACGACATTGAGGGGAGCCGGCGGCGACGTGCGACGCGTCGCCTCCCTCACGAGGACGGCGCGGCCGAACTTCCACTGCGTGTCGGACTGCGCCTGGATGCGCTGGTACGTGTCGCTCATCATGGCGATGAGCAGGTTGATGAGCACGATGAGCGTGACGATGAGATAGACCCCGAACGTGGCGTTGACGAGGGTGGACACGATGGACGGCGAGCGGCTCACGTCCGGCAGGGAGTTTTGGTCGCCCATGCCGAAGAGGGAAAAGAAGAGAAGCACGGTGACGTCCAGGGTCGTCTGCGCCGCCGTGGTCGGGTCCCACGCCGCCGCCGCCGCCATCGACGAGTTGCCCACCGGGTCGTCCTGCGGGTACACGGGCTGGCACAGCGCCGTGAGGTGCAGCGTGAACGCCACGTGGAAGATCCCCAGCACCATGCCGAACCTGGGGAAGAGTGGGAACACAGGAGCGGAACGCGGCACTCGCGCGGTCACCCCGGCAACACTTTCCTCTTTCGCTACGACTGTAAATTTTCATCTCCAGCTGCAGTAGCATTTGGGCGCTAGACAAGTAGGATATTGGATCGCAGCGTTATAATCGTCGATGCTGAAGGCCTCCCCAAACTGTGGCAAGGTAACATTGGTGTTGGCACGGTATTGGCCACCCACCCCCCGATGTGCCGTGCCGGCCTTCATAGGTGCTCGCTAACCGCACCCGCCCCGGCAGTCTGTCAACGGTTGCACGTGGGATATTTGCGTTTGTTTCTTCTCTGCGTGAAGCTATACCTGGCGAGGTCCTTCATGAGGTCGCTGATGATGATGGCCCACGGACCGAAGAGGTGGTGGAAGGAGAGGAAGTCGAGCAGCTGCACGCAGCAGAAGGCCAGCGCCTTGGCCAGCAGGACGTTGCGTGCGCAGAGGCACTCGAGCAGAGCGTGCGAGCCCGCCGGGAAGGCGAGCGCAGACAGGTGGCACAGCAGAGCCAAGCCCGACAAGCCGAGCACCAGCAGCCGGATCCAGGCGAGGCCGAACCGCGACCCTCCTGGCAACGACGAGCACGCAGCAAACGCTGCTTGTCAGCGTCGGCCGTACGTATGTACGTACATATGTACGTACGTACATACGTACGTATGGATGTTGAAGTTCCTTTGCGCCGGGCGTAGCCAACCGTGCTAATCGTATGGTTTCTGAATTTGATTACGCTTGTTTACTCGGTAACGCCTCACCGAGTCTCGCAGTAGGGGGCAATGATTGCTATTTTAATTGATTCAATTGCGGCTACTTTTTTTAAATTGGGAAACTTTGGACAATAACGCCGGCACACAGTGGCCTACTCTTGTAAAGGACGTCAAGGGGTCTTTAACGTCCACTATGAAACAGAAAGCGTATTTTTACGTACGCACGTATGTTGAACTTCTTCCGCACCGTACGTAGCCAACCGTGCTAATCGGAGAAATGAATTTTCGAAGAAATTCGTTTTCAATTTACGGTTGATACCCCCGCAGTAATAACCGGGGCAGGCGCCGCATTAAAAACCGTGAACCTCCACAGCCAAGCATCGCGAACGCGCTACCGCCAGGCCGTGCGACCGCCCCGTTTGGTGCGTCTCACCGCTGCCTCGGCCGACGAGCCGGCCCTGACGCAACTCGGCGAGCAGCAGGCCCAGCAGCCAGGTGAACAGGAGCCACTCGTTCCACGAGGGCAGCAGGTGGCCCTCGGCGATGGGCGTCACAGGAGGCCACACCACCGTGAGCACGAACAGCGACAGCAGGAACAGGTGCGACGCAAGGTGGCACAGGAACTTGATGATCGGGATCCGAGTAAACCTGCGAAGGCATCGTGAGTGTCTGGTGCAGTTGCTCTAAGGCGAGTATGTCGCATATCGAACTGTCTCACGTATTTATTAACCGCCTTCACCCAGTGCGTTGTGTGGCGTAACCGTCAATTTTCCCAGATGCTCACATGTCATAATAATCACCATTGGAATGTTTAGGATTGTTTTTGCCCAACTCAAGTCACCAGGTTTGTGATATCCACGGCGCCGCCGCTCTACCCTATCAATCAATCAATCAACGAAACTGCAAGCTGCACGTGGATTAAACCACCCCTGAGTTAGACCGGGACAGATCATGGGGATACAAATATTCCACAATACCAGAAGAGTGGAAGATTATATGTAAATATAGTGTGTTATTAGGAGTATGTACAACGCTACTAACAACCGCCAGGACGTTTAATAAAATATAAACATTTTTATTTTACTAGGTAAGGCCCACTGAGCTATATAGCTCTATTTCAGAAGCGACCTGGCCACATATGATAGCTCAACAAAGTGGCTTATCACGTGGAAATTCTAACAACCAAATACTCTAAGTGCACGTTGATTCTAAATTGTGGAGGGAAAAACCGGAGGACCCACGCGACCACGGGGAGAGAGACACGCAAACTCTAAATATCCAGGCGTCAGAGGCGGGATCGAACCTACGACATCCTGCATACCAGGCGAGGTAGTTAACATCTCACCAGAGGTCGCAAACGGGTTTTGATTCCTTACCCGTACCCGTACCCGGCCGCACCAGGGTCGCAAACGGGTACCCGTACCCGTACCCGGCCAGGTACGGGTAGCCGGGTATCGGATAGGGTACGGGTATCGGGTACCCGGTTGCGACCTCTGCATCTCACTCACCGTGGCGTCTCTGCCAGAAGTTGCCCTTTGCCCCTGCCCCCCCCCCCCATGTACCTGTGGCCGAGAGGAAGCGAGAAAGCGACCCAGAGGGGTGGGCAGACGAGGAATCCGAGTAGGAGCAGCGCGAGGCACCAGGAGGGCCAGCGGAGGCCTCCCCGCCACACGTCGCTCAGGTGGTGCTGCACGGCGGGGTGCGCCGCCACCTCCCGCTGGTGGCACTCGATGAGGACGTCGAGCAGCGAGAGGCCGCGCTCGTCCACGGCCTGCAGCAGCGCGGCGGCGCCGGCGCTCTGCGAACCCACGGCAAGCGACAGCAGGTCCGTGGCCAGTGCCTGGACGGACAGCGGGGAGCGCACGGGCACGGGGTGGCAGCCGACGTTCATCTATTTATTTTAGTCTTATTCTTGATCTAGCCGATAACTATTTTTGTCGTTTCAACTAAGGCGGCGTCTGTGGATTTCGTTTAGTCGCGAGTCTTAGTGTCGTCGGCCAGCGTGGCTACTCGCGCCTCTTCCACAAAGTCTGGCCAGTGCGAATAAGGAACGTTAGGTCCAATATCCTGCAGTCACCACGATCCTTACCATCATCAATGGTTACGAGGGTAATGATGATCACCAGTGTTTGACTTCAGCTGGAGCGATAGTACATTGGCTGTTCCACTGCGTTACGATGCCCTTGGCTAGCATCACCTGGCAGTGCCCACTCCGGGGTGCCCACCTGGCAGTGGCGCGCTGCCAGCTCGAGGTCGACGGAGCGCTCCTTCTCGCGCAGGGCGGCCGCGCCGAGCGCCCGCGTCAGCTTCACCGCCGCCTCCAGTGGCGCGGGCGCCAGCAGCACGAAGTCGTCGATGACGCGGAACTCGCACTGCTGCCCGCACACCACCAGGTCGTACACGAACTGCAGGAGCCTCGCGCAACACGCACACACGCACACACCACACGGATGAAGACAAACGTCCTCCGTATTGCCCACAAGGTTGTTCAGGCCGAGTGCTGTTAGCGGGCACCGGCTAAGGCCGGCACGGCTCGCGGGGGAGTGGCGTGGCCATTCACAGTCACCGTCGACTAAAATAAAAATTATTTGTCGACAGATATTTCCCGTCACTGATTGTGTTATCGACGATGTGTGTCGAACTTCTTTTGCACCGTACGTAGCCGACCGTGCTAATCGGAGGTGCGGGGGAAGGACAACAAACTTAAACACAAAAAGAAGTTATAAAGAAATTAGTTTTCAATCGAGATTTAAAAGTGCATAGCGAGAGTGGCTTCCTAATATCGGATGGAGGAGAGTTCCACACGGCCGCAGAAGCACATATGAAAGCGTTCGATGGTCAACTAAAAGTCGCCGCTGCGAGGATGACCGGAGTTCACTCGATGATGGTTTATGCTCCTTGACGAGATCACCAAGTATTTCTAGATTTGAAGCTTTCGTGACTGCAAGGATTCATATTCTTAGGTTTTTTCGGTAAAGTCACGTAGGTAAAACATTTTTTTTATAAAAGTAAAATAAAATAAAAATAAAATAAAAATCACGACGTTTCGGAGGCAACACAAGCTTCCGTCTTCAGGTGGAACCGTCACAGCACAATAGCTGTATCAAGTTAAAAAAACGCAATCGTGCTGTGACGGTTCCACCTGAAGATGGAAGCTTGTGTTGCCTCCGAAACGTCGTGATTTTTATTTAATTTTACTTTTATTAATTTAAATTTTTAATCTACGTGACTTCACCGAAAAAACCTAAGAATATGAGATCAGCGAGGTATTGTGGCTCATTTGTGGAGGAGCGCGACCTCAAAACGTATTCGTTCGTCAACCGGAAGCCAACGCAGCTCGGCGAACACCGACCGGACACGGCGCTCACCCTGCGGTTGTGGATGAGGCGCTGGGTGGCGGGGGTCGAGTGGCGCAGCAGAAACGCCAGCACATGGCGGTGGCCCCCGCCGGCCGCGTGCTCGAGGGCCGTGTGGCCGTCACGACACTCGGCCGAGCCGGCCGCACCGCTCTCCAGCAACGCGCGCACCGCGGGGAGGCGGCCGGCTCGGGCGGCCACGTGCAGCGGGGTGCAGCCGCTCTGCCGACACCGGCGGGGGAGAGCGAGAGACGGAGATTAATTCATTCATCACGCGGAGTCAGCGAAGGAGCATTGCGCGTGACATGTTGCGACAGCATTCGGTTAAACCGCTCTTGCTGCCATACGGAGGTGGCGCCATTCCTTTGAAGGTCGCAGTCCACCTCGAACGTCGACCGCCAACTGAAGTGAGCGCAATTTGCTGCAGGAGTTTGCTCGTCAAGAAGGGGCGACGTGTCCAAACAGAAGTGGCAGTCGTCTTCCCACGAACTAAGCTCTCAATCGCTAGGAGACTGGTCGCGTCAGGGTCAGGATCAAACCCACGAGCTGTATACCAGGAGAGGTAGATAACATCTCGCCACCGTGGCGAAGTGCATGGGCAAAGACACGGCCGTACGGGCAGCAACACCACGCCTATTTCCTTCAATATATATGTACCAATAAGCACGGTTGACTACGTATGGTGCGAAAGAAGTCCGATAGTTCAACGTAGACGACCACAGCACCGTGCACCTTGTCGGTGGCATTGATGTCGGCGCCCTGGCCCAGCAGGAGCCTCAGCGTCTCCACGTGGCCGGCGGTGGCGGCGAGGTGCAGGCACGAGTGTCCACGCTGGTCGGGCGTGCGCAGCAGCGGCAGCGCAGCGCGGCTCAGCAGCAGCCCCGCCACGGCCGCGTGGCCGCCCTGGCAGGCGAGGTGCAGCGGCGTCGTGGCCTGCGACGTGGCACGCGTGGCCCCATCGGGAAGCGCGACCGGCACACGCTACGCGTTAGAATTCTGGCGTGGCGAGTTTGCGTAAATTTGTTTTTTTTGGCTCTGGTTAGTTGGCACATTTACACCCTGCGATGTGTATTTACGTTTAACTTCTTTCACACCGTGCATAGCTAACCGTACTAATCGGAGTTGCGGGGGAAGGACTAAACACAAAAAGCAGTTATAAAGAAATACGTTTTCAATGGAGATTTCTTGTAGCTGTCATCACTGCCGACAGTCCTGGGCAGTGGTCATCCTCGTAACAGAGCTGCTAAGCACAATGGGGCCTTACCATCTGATTAACGAGATCGTCGGCTTGCCATTGAAACCCGTGAGATATGAGGTGGTTGGGTGACTAAAGGGTCACAGCGCTGAGCCGGTGAAAGAGAATAGGGAACGTACACGCTCACCTTGCATGATTTCCCAAGAACGAATATTTAGGAACCTTGGTTTCAAATTCCGAAATATTTGTATGCCAATATTTTTTAACAAAGCAGTCCGTGCATATGAGAGTTTGCATCAGGGTGCCACTCAAAAGTCAAGTTTGTTAGTTTCATGGTCACACCTGGGTCTTTGTTCATTTCCTTCAAACTGAAGCACTGCAAGTTAAAAAATAATCCCTCTATTTGCTGCTGGTCACCTGAAGAGATTTTAGAAAACTGCTGTAAATTTGAAAATGCCGTACAAATTGGCATAATAACTTCATAACTGATTTCAACTTGTAACGCGCACAGTTTCCACTCGCACTCAAAGAGAGAGAGAACAACTCAAAGGCACAAGGAACCACAGACAACCAGGAAGGTAGCAGCTGGGCACTGAACCGAAACAATCAACAATTTCCCAAGCTCTGTGGTCCTCTATATATTAAGATGTTTTCAGCCGAGGGAGCGGAGGGAGCTGGTAGGAACGTGGGGTTGCTTGGTCAATGGCCAGGGTCAACGGCGACGTGGTGTATTCCGCAAATATGGCCGACTGGGAGGGCGGGCACAAGCCGGCGTGAGTAGGTTAAACATTTAAGGGCACCACGGGGTGACCAGCCCCTCTCCACCCTGCCCTACTCCTCCCACCCCCCACCCAGCCCCACCCTCCCCACCCAGCCCCTCCCCACCCTCCCCTCCCCACCCAGCCCCTCCCCACCCTCCCCACCCAGCCCCTCCCCACCCTCCCCTCCCCACCCAGCCCCTCCCCACCCTCCCCACCCAGCCCCTCCCCACCCTCCCCTCCCCACCCAGCCCCTCCACACCCTTCCCACCCAGCCCCTCCCCACCCTCCCCTCCCCACCCAGCCCCTCCCCACCCTCCCCAACCAGCCCCACCCCTCCCATTTTTGGATGCACGATGGACGAACGGACACAATAATCCCCTATGGGCTGGTGTAACCAGGAGGTTCCTACCAGTATGAGTATTTACATGTGGGAGGCAAGTAGAGCGCCCGGAGAAAACGCACGCATGCGAGGGGATTGAACGGGGCTGCATCACAAGATGCTGTACAGAACCGGTGGGTAAGTTTGAGGTTCTTAAGCCTGGACTTACATACAAAGACATACGTAGACTCACATAAATACCCATAGCATTGGAAATCCATACATTTACATCGATATAGATAAGGAGAGATCATAAGACTCACACAGAGGCCCACAGAATTACATAGAAACCCCATAAATGTATATAGACCTTTGTACGATATGATGTAATTTGGATTCATATAGCATCTAAACGCGACCGGATCTCAACAGTGGGCAAGGTTATTTTACAGAGACAGGCAGTCGGTGTTCACAGGCAGAGTAAAAGAGAAACGCCCCAAGCCTGGACTTCAACAGCAGCAGGTAGTCGACATCACGGACAGCTGGCAGGAGGAAACTGCTGTTGCCTTCATCGTTGTCGTGAGCGCTGTTGTGGCAGGACCTGCCTGCGGGCCGGCCTGCAAGTCCTCCGGCGTGCTCGGGTGGTTGAGCAGGAGCCGCACGAGGCCCTCGTGGCCGGCCTGAGCCGCCAGGTGAAGCGGAGTGAGGCCGCTCTGTCGCACAGGAAGAGAGCGTAAGAACGTTGGCAGCCTCCCTCGCACGCCTCGGAAACCCAAAGCGAAACCCTCATGTCCTGTGGCAGTCTTGCCAAGGGGACTCCCAGTGGCAGCCGTCCCTATGTGGCGCAACCTGCACGCAGCGCCGGCTTGCAATTGGGGAAAGCCCCATGCGGAGACACGTAAACTCACATTGAGAGCAAGTGTATGGTGACCCGTACACTCGTATCGAGACACGTAGACTTACACTCAGAGCTAGAGATAAGCATTTATGGGGCACTTAATGCCTCGTCACATCTCATCCCGGCTCTAGTTTGTATGTTTAGCTCACCAGAGAGACACGGAGGACAGGGCACGCAGCACCGGCTGAACGTCATCCGCGAGCTCACGGGCACTGACAACAAACCTCACCGCTTGGAGCTGGTTACCCGCCCACAGAGTGAAGTATGGTCAAACAGCCCACATGACCCACACAGGTTGTTACAAGCTGTTGTGGGGTTACATCGCGGGCAGCAGAGTGCACTGCAGAAAAATCCACTGCTGTTCTGCTCCCGTATAGTTATCCTCCTCATCTTGACCAGTCAGTTGCCTCCTTATCACTCTTCACTAGTTCATTCCTCCACCAACATTTATTCATGAATGTGTAACTTGTTTAGCACCGTACGTAGGCAACCGTGCAAATTTAGGACACTTGTCTGCCAGGCTGTTTCGTCTCATCCGCACTGTCCAACCACACCACACTGCAAGTAACAACAATGATTGTGCCTCTTCCCTTACACTGTCCAACTTTGGAATTGCCTCCACATCGTCTCGATTCCCAAGTCATTGCTACCTTGCACAACGCAAGAAACGCGAACCCTTATCTTGTACACCTTCAATGGTGCTGGGATTTTATCGCTGGCCAAAGGGCGTTTTGGGCCTTTGCTCAGCGACTGTGTTTAGCAGAACAAAAACCTGCACTGACCGGCATGGTGAAGTATGGTCAAACAACCCAACCCCCCCCCCCCCCCACCACTCCCGACACGGCGTGGCGAGGCCTTCGTCCGGCAGTAAACTCACAAAGGGCTGTGAACTGCGAGACAAAATTTCTCTCTTTCACATATCACTGCCATTGAGACATGGGACCCAGGCCATAGGCAGAGCCGGTCACGGAGCAAAGGGGTGCGGCAATTGGTCAGGTGGGGGTCCCAATGCCGCTGAGAAAATATCTCGTGGTGGTTGTCAAGAGGGGCCCCAACTCGTCGCTTTGGCCCCAGGGGTGGGGGGAGGCAAGGCGCTCCCCGCCCCCGTCGCTACTTCCGCGACTTGGTTGAGACACAAATGACCGACGCTCCGGCTGGCCCTGCCCGCACCTCTGGAACTGCGTCTCTGCCGGCGGCGACGTTGACGGGGCTCGGGCGCGCGCTCTCCGTGGCGGCCGGGACGCTCGCCAGCATCTCCCGAGCAAAGTCGACCTGCCCAAAGCGCGCGGCGACGTGGAGCGCCGTGAAGCCGGTCTGGGGGCAAACGAGCGAGGATTTCTTTACCGATTTGCAGGCGCGGTGGTGCTTGCTTAAATGCCTCGGTGGCTTATATCGCATCTCATCCCAAACATCCCAATGCACTGCAAGCAGTCCAGTCGAGGGGTATCTTCCAGTGCTAGCCATCCCGTACGTGGCACGAAGTGGACAGAACGCCAGCATTTAAATGAGTAAAGACCCAGAGTGAGACCCATAGACTCACATACAGCTCCATAGACTTCCACAGAGATCCATAGCGCACACAGGATAAAGGATTTTAATTTATGGGGCTCCTAAATGCCACAGCAATTCAAAACAATCTTTTATCAGATCTCATCTCTATTATACTAATGCCAGGGTGAAGGTTTTTTTTTATTTAGCCCCCTTATGGCAGCTGTCCCTGTGCGGCACAACGTGATTGCAGCACCTTGATTCATGCAGCATGTTCATTTGTGGTTTTCCCAATGAAGTAATCGATCAACTTAGTGCGAGACACGCCCTGAATTGAGGTGTGCTGCTGAAAGGGTTGACAACCCCAAGAAGAATGAATCAACGTCTCGGTGGAACCTTGGTGCTGGTCACATTGAACGGAAATCTTTGCTTCAGAGCTTCCAGCACGCCGGTGTGCCCGTGCTTTGCTGCGAGGTGAATGGCCGCCATGCCCTCCTGCACAGACAAGAGACGTCGCAGATGCCACTACAAAAGCGTACACGGCAGCAGCAGCAGCACGTCCATCGTCGCTGTCGTCGTCACCGAATAGGTTTGGTGTCCGTGACATTCGTACGGCCCGATGCTGCCACAAAGACTCCACGTTTCACAGACGAGCATAGCCTGCCTGTCTTCATGGCGGTGACGATGGCGAGGATGGTGACGATGGCGAGGATGGTGATGATGAGGATGGTGACGATGGCGAGGATGGTGATAATGACGAGGAAGCACCCACACTTTACAACCAGAAATTTGATTAAATGGCATCCCGAGACAAAGACTTGACTCGGTGAACGCTGCGATTCGATTTGGCGCTGCCATAACGGTGATGTGTGAGGGGGAGGGGGGTTTGGGTTGGTGCGGGGGGGGGGGGTGGAGGGCGCCGGCTCACGGAGTCTTCAGCAGCGGGGGAGGCTCCGGCCTCCAGGAGGATTCTCACGGCCTCGGCGTGGCCCCCGGCGGCGGCCAGCTGGAGGGGGGTCGACCCGCTCGCCTGCACGCACGACGCACACAGACACTTCAAGCGCCTGCACGCACGACGCACACAGACACTTCAAGCGCCTGCACGCACGACGCACACAGACACTTCAAGCGCCTGCACGCACGACGCACACAGACACTTCAAGCGCCTGCACGCACAACGCACACAGACACTTCAAGCGCCTGCACGCACGACGCACACAGACACTTCAAGCACCCGCCGGGGTTCGATGGCAAGATGTTACCTACATCGCCTGGTATACAGCAGGTTGTGGATTCGATCCTGACCCCGACTCCTGTTGTATATTTGGACTTTGCATGTTCTCTCTCTCGCCATGGTTGCGTGAATTTTGCTCTGGGTCCTCCCTACACATTTAGAATCAACTTGCATTCAGAGTTTGTGGCTGCTATAAATGTACACATCATGAGCCGCTTCGTTGAGCCATCATTGTGGCCAGGTCGCTTCTGAAAAAAAAATATCTACACAGCTCAGTGGGCCTTACCTGGTAAGATAAAAAAAAAATTGCTTAGTTTAAATATAAAGGTACGGCCAACTCTGTCAACTTCGTGACTCCGCGATGGCATCTTGAGGTCTCCGGTACGGTTTGACCTCCCGACAGAAGTACTGATCAGCTGCTAATCTGAGTACGCATATCCACATACAGTCTGTATTACGCTGTCACGTGAGGACTACACAATGAACGCAGGTGTTTGTTAAATCTCCGTGTCCCTGTCCCCCGGCAGAATAAAAGTGTGCACCCGTCGATCAGCAGCTCGTACGTGCTGGGGTCAAGTGTGGTTGTTTCTCGCCTCTTGCAAGACGTCTGGCCAGTGTGGAAGAGTAGGCCAAAAAACCTTTGAGCTCTCTGTAGTTGAGGCCCTTCCGCTAGCAGTGGCTAAATATCTCAATGCAGGACCCTTGAGCCTCTGACATTCTGGGAGAAATAAGAGGGCATTATGATAATTATGTTCGGCTGAATCAGTCTGCTGACCAGACGTTGGATGCGTGACCTTTTTTTAATTTCCACAGTCCCATTCAGCCAGGTATCTATACAATAACTTGAAAATCTGTTCATTGTATATACATTTGTTTGTCCGGAAGATTTCTGATCGACCGCTCCACCAATTTCAATAAACGAGGAGTCACTGGAAAGGGGGTGGGGGGGGGGGGTGGGCCCGGCGCGACCCCCTGACCTGGCTCCGCACGGCCGTCACTCCGGGGCGGTGGTGCCGCAGCAGCTGGCGCAGCACGGGGGCGCTGCCCCTGGCGGCCGCGATGTGCGCGCACGTGCGGCCTCGCCCGTCCGCCACGGCCACCAGCGCGGGGTGCCGCTCCACGAACAGCGCCACCACCGACGGGTGGCCGTTGTCAGCGGCAAGGTGCAGCGCTGTCTGCCCACCCTGCAGGAACATTGTGTGCCGTCGTCGTCATTATCTTGATTTAACCACGATTAAGGTGACGATTTTTGGCACGGTCATTTTGTGGTCGCTTCATTCACTGGCGAAGTGCCGGAAAATAACGACAATGTACTGATAGTTTACGGACAGTACCCCACCGAAAAACCTGCTTTTTAAAATAGAAAAATACATTCTGAAATAGAGATATGCTCTAAATAAGAACGGGAGACAGAGCAGAGCCTCACCATTCTGGCGAATTGCTCGATGATGCTGGATGCAATTACCAGCGAAATGTCGTACTCAAAATTTTTAAATGTTGTGGTTTCACGCTTCAACACACCGGTGGGCTAAAGTAGTGAACTATTTGTCTTTTGTCAACGTGACACTTTTTTACTGATTGGCCGTGTCGGGTGGTGGAGGGTTACGACACATTTATAAATAACGCGATCTAAACCCAACAACGTTGATTATGAATAATATTGGTCGCGAAAGCCTACGTGTTAAACAGAGATATTAAAGTTTAACATTAAAAAGCCCTATGCCCCTCCTGCCCTTCTCTACCTCCTGCGCAACCGGAGGGACCTACGTCGTCGGCGGCGTTCACGTCGGCCTTCAGCTGCAGCAGGGTCCTGCACACGTCCAGCTGCCCGCTCGACGCGGCCAGGTGCAGCGGCGTCCTCCTCCGCTGCGCCGCGAGGAGATGCGGAGGCCAAGGCAACGGCACGGGGATGGAAACGAGCGCGCGACGAAATTCAACAATGTTAGCCGGGCACGACGGCTATCGCCTGTGACACGGAGATTCGGATTCTGGGATGGTGTGTCACGTGGATCAGGGCGTGCGGAACATTTGGCCGTTGACTTCAGTTCACATGGCCCATAGATGTCGTCGCTCTACAGAGGGTTGCTTCCAGTGCTCTTCTGGTAGCCCGTGAGGCAGAGCAGAAAACGGTACCGCCTACGGTCGCAAAACATTCACAGAACCAATTAATTTTGCATGGCTATATTTATAATTGTAATTATATTTTTCATTAATGATTTCATAACCCACTCATCTCAAGCGGTTATGCCAAAAGTCACCGACAATGCCCACGTGAAGAAAAGAAAAAACCTAACCGCAAAAAGCTACGCCAACTCTGCAATTTCGAACATTTGGTTCTGGACCCGTGGACAGTCGGCTCTGTCGCCGCGTCCACCTCCGCCACCTCCGCCACCCGCTCACCAGCGTGAGCGCGTCCACGGCGGCGCCGTGCGTCCGCGCGAGCAGCAGCACGAGGGCCGCGTGGCCCGCTCCCGCGGCCGCGTGCAACGGCGTGTGGCCCAGCTTGCTCTTGGCGTTGGCGAAGGCGCCGCGCCGCAGCAGCTCCCCCGCCACGCCGTCGCGGCCCGACTCCGCCGCCAGGTGCAGCGCCGCCTTGCCGTGCTGCGACAGAAAGACAAACGCGGGGACGCTCCTCGGCGCTCAGGGGTGGCAGCAGTGGGAGGGGGGGGGTTCAGATCCGGCATAGCGCCGCTGTGTACGCCGTGACAACGGGCGACGCCGCGTACGCCGGATCAAGACGCGTGTCGTTTTTGTTTACCCCCGGACAGTTTCGACTCCTGTAACACCGCGTGTTGTTGTCGTTGTTATTTTCATGATGTAACGGCGATTGAGCGAACAAAACTACGTGGCAGCGCGAGTAGGAATGAGCGGTTGTACAGCTGCCTCGGCGCAGCATCGTCACGCAAGGCACTGGGATGCTGCTGGATGCTTCTAGATGCTACCCACTTGCCTCAGCGTTTGTTCAGCCTGCGTACGCATCTCACGTGATATCGCGGACTGTGCTCTACCCTACATGTTATATTATTTATTTCAACACGAATTTTTCGGTAACGCTGTGTTCTTCAGGAACGGCAACTACAGCGCTATAGGGGCACAGACTGTACTTGAAAAGCTAATGGTAAGGGTGCATACTGTGTTTTAATCCAGCGGATGTGTGTGTGTGTGGCCACTGTTGAATAACTTTAGCTGGGCGCTGGTGGCTACGATGGCACGTGGGCCGTAATCCGGCGCTGTTGAGGGGCCATGCCCTGGCTCACCAGGAGAAGGCGGTACAGCAAGGGGACTAATCGCCATATGTTTCCATCTGTACGGGGATGGAGTGTTTCCCCCTCACGTTTCCTCCGGGTGCTCCGGTTTCCTCCCACTTGTAAAATAATGAATCGGCTGAAAACATCTTAAAATAAAAACCCACTGTAGCAGGACCCTCCTGAAACGGAGTCCTACGACTCAGTGTGACTTTCCTGGATAAATAAATAAGCCTATCAAATAAGTGAATTAACACCAGGCACAACTTTGCAGTGCCTCTTAATTTCCAGAGCGTCTCATCTTGACGAACCGTAGCGGTTACGTCAGAAAAATGCCACCAAACAGGAATCCAGAAAAATGAGTGTCAGCGCGAGTGGCAACACGACGGACTGATGATGGAGTGCAGGAGGAGGCGCTGGAGAGGAGAGGAGAGGGGACTGACACAGCAGATGGGAAATTATGATGACGACGACGATGATGAATGATGATGGACACTGCTACTGCCACCACTGGAGCTTCGTGAACCCAGCGACCTGAAGAAAAAAATAAAGACCCCCCCCCCCCGACCCCCCCCCCTCCCCGAGAAAAGCGATGGCCGGGAGACCGGAGCAGTCAGTGACGGCTCCTCCCTGGAGTCCAGACCTCGTCGAAGACGTCCACTCTCGCGTGGTTCTCCAGCAGAAGATTCACGACCTCCAGGCGCCCCTCCTCGACGGCCACCATGAGAGGTGTCCATCCGTTCTGCAGGGTTGCGGTCACGCGCGTGTGTTTAATTTCAAAGTGCACCTGGCATGGCACCCTCACTTCGTGGAAAACGGCGTGTATCGGTATTGGTTTATTTCACCACTGCCCCAGCATGCTGCATAGCTTTAAAAAACTAAATATTCACTAGATAAGGCATTGCCTTATCTAGAACAAGGAGAGCAATTAAGCATCTATAAACTCGGACAAGTGCAGCGTATAGCTTCCGATGGTGTTTTCGGGCTGTACCGCGTGTTGTTTGGCATGATGTCCGACGTTCCGCTCCACGTGTTGGGAGCTTCTTCAGGATCTGAGCTGTCAATCCCACTGGGCTGGAAGACGGTGGCTAGGAATCAGTTCCTGAAGAAGCTCCCAGCACCGACACGCAACAGCACGACCGCGAAAACCAACGCACAGTTCGCGAGTCTCAATGAGGGAAATAATGTTAGGACTTCTCAACATTCAGGCAGCACAAAGTGTGGGCTTTTGCAACTAATATTATGGTTCACAATTGAATCAGCCATTAGATCTGGACAAATCTGTGTCGTTAAGCATCGCAAAAATGTTGCTGCGAGATCCGTTCTCGAACTTGCTCGGTGAGATGCAACAAAGATTGGCGGTGCGTCGTTAAACGCGTGCACAAGTGGCAATCCCATTTGTTTGGCTGCGTCGAGTGGTGGAGGGACTGATGATGACGCAAAGTTGGCCGGATCATTCCGTGGCCCAACCCAAAATTCAACTGAAGCGATCATTCGGACCGCAGTCGCGAACCGGGATCGATTCCCTCAACTTCCTGCAGATTCCCGCTCGGCCGCGGTCACCTTGGCCTGCCGGTTGAGGGCCCTCTGGGCGCCGTTTGGACCGACGTGGTTCAGGATCTCCGTCAGAGCGGCCACCCTGCCGGCTCGAGCGCCGTAGTGCATCGGCGTCTCCCCAGTCTGGAGGGGGGGAGACACCGAGGAGGAGGTCGCTCGGAGCGACCAGCCAAAGTCACGGCCTGCGAGCGCTCCACCGCGAGTGAGTGAGCGAGTGGGCGAGTGAGCGAGTGAGTGAGTGAGCGAGCGAGCGAGTGAGTGAGCGAGCAAGTGAGTGGGCGAGCGAGCGAGTGAGTGAGCGAGCGAGCGGGCGAGTGAGCGAGTGAGTGGGCGAGTGAGCGAGTGAGTGAGCAGGTGAGCAAAAGAGTGAGCAAGCGGGTGAGTGAGCGAGTGAGTGAGTGAGTGAGCGAGCGAGCGAGCGAGCGAGTGGGCGAGTAAGTGAGCGGGCGAGTGAGTGAGTGAGCGGGTGAGTGGGCGAGTGAGCAAGCGGGTGAGCGGGCGAGTGAGTGAGCGCGCGAGTGAGCGGGTGAGCGAGCGAGTGAGTGAGCGAGTGAGTGAGCGGGCGAGTGAGTGAGTGAGTGGGTGAGCGAGCGAGTGAGTGAGCGGGCGAGTGAGTGAGCGAGCGGGTGAGCGAGCGGGTGAGCGAACGAGTGGGTGAGCGAGCAAGCGGGTGAGCGAGCAAGTAAGTGAGCAAGTGAGTGAGTGAGCGAGTGAGTGAGCGAGCGAGTGAGTGAGTGAGCGCGTACCAGGTGCGTGTGTGCGGCGGGGTCTGCGACGTGCTGCAGGAGGAGGCGTGCGACCTCCCCGCCACCCGCCGGCCCCGGCAGCTCGACAGCGAAGTGCAGCGGCGTCTCTCCCTCCTGGCGGACACCAACGACGATTTAAAGACGTCGATTTGTGATTCGTCGCCTCGCGTTCGTTCCCTCTCGTCGGTGTCGTTTTCTTAAATTCGTTTTCTGGCTGTTTGTCTGCACGGTTTGCGTCTCGTTGCGTTTGAGGAAACGCAACAGCGGCTCTGTGAGATCGCGCACGGGGTTCGGCGCGTGGTGTCGCAAGCGTCGGGATCGGTTTAAATCAATGAATCCCGTGCATCATTCCATGCCTAGTGATAAGTGATACAAATACGGTCATTCGTGGCTGATAGAGTTGCCTTTCACGCCAGGCCATCTCACAGCGCTTTCAGCACGCATGCTGATTTTTATTGGATAATTGTACATTTCTAAATTTTGATTTAAAGCTTTCGTGACTGCAGGGATTCATATTCTTGGTTCTTTTGGTAAAGTGACGTAGAAGGGAAATAATAATAATAAAATAATATAGATATAAATATATTTATATTACTTTATTATTTCCCTTCTACGTGACTTTACCAAAAGAACCGAGAATATGTACATTTCTAGTTTAACACGGAGGCGTTCGCGACCAATATCATCCATAATAGAGGTTTTTTTTTGGGGTTAGATCGCGTAATCACGCACATTTCTAGTGTATAATGGCTTTCCCGAATAAATATTTATTCGGGAAAGCCATAATGATTCGAATGTCTCTCTTTTCAGGAGGGTCCTGCTACACGGGATGTTTACTTGACGAAGATGCCTTCAGCCAGTTACTGAGAAAAAGCACGCGCGCGAAGGGAGCCCACGCTGTGTCCCCGTACAGATGGGGAACAGATGGAGATTAGTCCCCTCGTCGTTCTCCTGGTGAGCCAGGGTATGGCTCCTCCTCTACGCCCATGGGAAGGGAGCTTTGCGGGATTTGTGCGAATCGCCAACCCTCACTGCCTCCACCGGTGAATTACGGGCGTGCCACCACTGGCTCGGCTGCATGATACAGAGTGCTTCAAAAAAATGTGACAATTTGCAACAATGCCACAAGAAATGTGCTGCCTCCGGGCTCTGGAGACCAACTGGAGAAGATTCCAGGTGTGTGTTGATAATAATGGCGAACAAGTGGAGACTCTTCGAAGCTATTATGTTACGGTGTGTTATCCGTTCTTTTTCCATTAAAAACGATACTCTCATGTAAGTGCTGACATTTTTTTAAGCACCCTGTAATTACAATAAGATAAAGTTAAGGTCAAATGATAACCTTAAATTCACCTGATACCACTAGCAGGGTGTTCAGCCTCCGGCGCACCCCACATTGTCCTGCTTGGAGCTGCGCACTACGACGGCCCAGTTGGATTTTGTGCCGAAGTAAAAATGGAAGTTTGATTTGGAGCTCCCAGCATAGGGTGCGGAACGTCGGACACCAGGCCGAACAACACACGCTTTGTGGCGAAACCCGAAAACACATCTAGAGAGAGAGCTAAACCGTGTATTGATTTTTTTTATTACTCTTTACTGCCGAATAAAAGTCACAAACTTGGTGTGCTGCCCAGGTGGACAAACATCCAATTTCCTGTGTGGACAGCGAGAGCGTGACCGCCGCCAGCACTCGTCCGTCGCGGGTGGCTCCCACCAATGCATGTTTGTGCTCGAGTGCGAGGCGGCTATTGCCGAGTTTGCTCTCATAAGTCAACAGCCGGGTCAGCAACAACCTCGATTTATTGGCGACTCAATTCTCGCTCCACTTCAAACGGCTAATATCAAGCGCGTGTGTGTTTGTGTTTGCTGTTCCGATGGCATAAAAGGTGAAATTGGAGCACGCGTGGGCAGTTAACAAGCAGTATAACGGTTGGCAGCGCGGTCGGACTTGGAATCCCGAGGTCCCCGGCTCAATTCGATGTCACGACGCGGCTGTTGAAACGACGGTGAGGGCTTCTTAAATCGCGAGGCAGGCCCACCTCGTTGGCCTGGTTGACGAGCGCCGTGGCTTGGAATCGGCGCGGATCGGCGGAGAAGACTCGCAGGATCTCGCGCACCAGGGCCACGTGGCCGTGACGCACCGCCACGTGGAGGACTCCCTCACCGGCCTCGCCACGGACAAAGACAAAGATCCCCCGGATAGCCTCCGATAAGACTCCAAGCCCGAGTCAATAAAACTTGCGTACCGATTTTGAAAGACAGTCATCAAATTAATATTCATTTAAAATGTTTGCTCGTCTTGCAAAACACTCGCAGACCAAGTTACTCGCAATCCAAGGTTTTACTCTATATGTGAAAAAAAACTATTTTAGTAAAAAAATACGTTAGTACAAATTTTTTTTAATAAAAAGTGCTTTTTAAAAAAGACGAGTTTAATATTTTTTAAAATTTTGGCATTACTTATGGTGTAGAAATTAAGGCGAGCGCCTTACTTACAAGCGGAAGGATGCAAATTCTCATTCTCGTTCGGGGGTTGATTAAACTGCTCATCATTCCTCAGAGGTCAATGAAATGAGCACCATTTTGTGGAGAGGTCAACAGTGGCTGTCCGCTAGAAATGCTCGCCCCTGCCATAGAACCGTGGAATTTCCAACACTGGCCCACAGCTATATTCTGGTAATAAGCACAACCTCAACGCTCACTTCAACGGGAAATCACTTTGACTTGACTTTTTTACGTTACCATAAAGATCTGTTTAGCTTGTGTAAGACGCTTGACTAAACACCACGATCGGTCGACAGAGATCGTTGATCGAGCTGTCACCAGGTCCACGCTTGCTTGGGCCTTTTCTATCACGTGGTGGTTTTAAAGGACTGCCATGAGCTTTACAAGATATAATCCTTATACACGTGACAGGTTGGGCCACCGAAGGGTAAACGTCGGGCCAACGTCGAGGCAACGTTGCACGTTTACTGGGTAATCGTAATGACCGAAGTGCAATTTCCCGGGTGCCCGGTGGCCTTCACCAGCCGTGAGTGGGAAGTAAGCGTTAATGAACTGATTGGGCATTAATCGGTGCGTGATGATACCACTGGCAAGCACCTTCGAGAGGCAGGTGAGGTCTCCTCCCTCCTCCAGCAGAGCCTGCAGCATCTTGAGGTGTCCGTGCCGGGCGGACACGTGCAAAGCCGTCTGCCCGTCCTGCCCCGGGGTGACGCGGTGGCGAGATGTTAACTACCTCGCCTGGTATGCAGGAGGTTGTAGGTTCCATCCCAACTCTGACGCTTGCTGCTGTATATTTAGAATTTGCATGTCTCTCTCTCCACGTGGTCCCGTGGATTTTTCTCCGGGTCCTCCGGGTTTTCCCTCCACATTTAGGACAACACGCGCTGTAGAGTATTTGGCGGCTATAAATTTCCACCTGATAAGCCGCTTCGTTGAGCTGTCATTTATCATGGCCAGGTCGCTTTTGAAAAAGCGCTATATAGCTCATTGGACCTTATCTGGTAAAATACAAAATAGTTTAAACAATTTAGTTTTTACACGCACTGCTTGGGAACCCTTCCTCGTCTCGATACGTTGGTAGTTGCTTTCATTCACAGTTTCACAACCTCGGGCGGTTATAGAAGTCGGGATCACAATGATGACGACAGCAAGAGGCAGATGAGAGCAGGTTGAAGAGGAAATTAAAAAAAAAAACTAAAATCTCTCTCTATGCGCCGTGTCCTTTCTTAAAAGGCTGTTGGCGATCATCACCTTCCTTCTGTTTAGCTCCGTCCGCGATGTTCACTCGCGAACCTTGCGTTGAACATTCCCAGTTGCATCCAAATCGTTCGCATTGCTCACCTAACTTCACTCGCTGTCTCCCCCTGCTTCTTGTGGTAACCTATTCTCTACCCAGTCGAAACATGACGTTCAGTCTCTCGCCTTCTCATGCTATACACAACCACGGTACGCTATGAACGCTCTTTGAAGCAAAATGCCGGTGGCTCCACCGCACCTTCTGAACGGCGTTGACGTTGGCGCCGCTCTTGAGCAGCATCTCGGCCACCTTCTCCCCCTCGGGCACCCGGGCCGCGATGTGCAGCGGCGTCTCCTGCGCCTGCGCGGACCCACGCGTACCCACGTTGAACTTCTCACGCAGCCGTACCAAGCCAACCGTGCTAATCGGAGGTGCTGGGGGGAGACAACAAACTGAAAAAAAAGCAGTTCTAAAGAAATAAGTTACCGATCTACACAATTTAAAAGTGCACGGCTCGAGTGGCTTCCTCATATCGGAAGGGAGAGCGCGTTCCAGACGGCCGCAGAAGCGCATCCGAGAGGGCGAGCGATGCGGTGCCCGTCTCTGCGGGCCGTGTGGGACTCACCGGCCCCCCCGTGAGCTGCACCTGTGCCCCGAACCCGAGCAGCGCCTGCACGGCGAGGGGGCGGCAGTGGAGCGTGGCGGCGTGCAGCGCCGTGTGGCCGTCCTTGGCGCGGGCGTCCGGCGGGGCGCCCTTCTGCAGGAGCGCGCGCACCACGGCCGCGTGGCCTCTCCGCGCCGCCACGTGCAGGCACAGAGCGCCGGCCTCGGGGGGACACACGCGGGGGGCACACGCGAGGGACACTTGAGCCCAGCGACACGTCCGCTGTAAATGTCCAAGCGACAAGCCACTTTGTTGAGCTGTCATTCGTGGTGGCCAGGTCGCTTCTGAAAAGTAAGTTTATACGTCAGTGGGATTTGCCTGCTAGGATGGGGATGGTTTAGTTTTGACTTAAAGCTTTCGTGACTGCAGGAATTCATATTCTATGGGTCTTTCGGTAAAGTCACGGAGATAGGTTACTTTGAACCTATCTACGTGACTTTACCGAAAGACCCATAGAATATGGTTTCGTTCTATTTGTACGTTTTTGGGTGATTTGTTTTTCTTGTACTTTGCACTAATATCGTGTCTTAACATCGTTTGTTGTCGTAACGTTCTCTGTGGAGAAGAGCTTTATAGCTCATCGGATTCCTCCTCCAGTATAAATACAGTTGCTGATTCTGCGAAACGTGACAGAGATGGAAGATGCGTGGCTCCCTTTGGCCTGGAGGCAGCGAGGCACGCCTCAGCACGTGCTCGCCGCCACCCCTTTTGCACTGCACGCCCGAGCCGGGACCACTATCCAGGTAGCCCCACCCACTGCTCAGGTGTCATCGCTGACTGCCCAGTAAGCCCCGCCCACTGCTCAGGTAGCCCCTCTCACTACCCGGATAGCCCCGCCCACTACCCGGATAGCCCCGCCCACTACTCGGGTAGCCCCGCCTACTACTCAGGTAGCCCCGGCCACTACTTGGGGAGCCCCGCCTACTGCTCAGGTAGCCCCTCTCACTACTCAGGTAGCTCCGCCCACTACACAGGTAGCCCCTCTCACTACTCAGGTAGCTCCGCCCACTACACAGGTAGCCCCTCTCACTACTCGGGTAGCCCCGCCCACTACTCGGGTAGCCCCACCCACTATCCCAGTAGCCCCGCCCACTACTCGGGTAGCCCCGCCCACTGCTCAGGTAGCCCCGCCCACTGCTCAGGTAGCCCCGCCCACTACTCGGGTAGCCCCGCCCACTACCCGGGTAGCCCCGCCCACTACTCAGGTAGCCCCGCCCACTGCTCAGGTAGCGCAACCCTTTTCCCGCAGCACGAGGTTGAGCACGAGGCCAGAAAGACGATGACCACCGGACCACGTTCCCGATCGTTGGCAAACGTTTCACGGGGGACAGCCGGAGCAGCCCCTTCTCTAACTGTCGGGACTGCCGCCTGCCTCACCTTGTTGGGCATCTGCAGGGGGACCCCCTTCTTGAGGAAGGCGAGCGCCGTGTCGGGGTGGCCGCACTGCGAGGCGATGTGCATCAGGGTGCTGCCGTCCTGCGGCAGACGATGCGACGCGCGGTTTTGTTGTGGAGGTGCCGCACGCGTCTCGTGTTAAACGTCGCCGTCGAAACCTCTCGAAGCCGGACGCGAGTAAGCCGGAATTTTGTGGGGTAAGCCAGGATGCTTCCCAAATAAAATTTAAACATATTTCTATATACATCTTCTTACGGATAAAACCAAACTCTGAATGGAACGCTGTTTAGCGCACGGGCACAACTTACGGTCATGATCTTTTGTCATTAGATTGTAAATATTAAATCGTAAATACTTCGCTAATTGTTATTCATCAGCGAACAACCATGGAGGCTGAACGGCTAAAGAACTCCCCAGACATCAATTCATACCGTCTGTTGCCCTTCTGGAAATCAGTGGCTTATCTAACAGCAATAACAATTGCTGTTAACCATTGATCACATATCTCAGATGTTAAGGACATACACGTGTCATTATTCGTTTCGTCTTTTCTGAATAATCCCATTATTGATGGCATGCTGGACATCTCCGATAGCCGGAGAGACCTTTCTCCCGATTCGATCGGCTTCGTCCGGCTTCGACCGGGTCTGCCCAGTCCCCGCGAGTACCTTGGTCCTGGCCATGACGTCCGATTTGAATTTGTCAGTCAGCACCTCCACCACGCTCGTGTGGCCGCGCTCGGCGGCGATGTGCAGCGGTGAGCGGTCCAGCTGAGCACCACCACACGGGGCAGAGACCCGCACTCAGCGTCAGGACGTGATCATGACTCTGCTGATGAGGCACCGCATGTCGAAAACCAGTGCACTGTCTCGTGTTTGTCCAACGCTGCTGAAATGATGCACGTCCCAGAAGGCCGTGTGAGGCTGATGGGATGCGTATGTAGGCAGGGAGCATTGTGGGAAGTCGGCATATTATTTACAGTGATTATTTCGACTGGACGTCACCGACGTTAATGGAATTACGTTGAGAGACGGAGGAACACATGAATTCGACAACATCTGCAGGCCAATGACACCAATCAAACGTGCCCGACATGTGTGCGATGCCTGAGACGTAACGCTCCACCCCCCCCCCCCACCCCCCGCGTTTCACTCTGTGAGATTCCTGCACCGGCGCAACGTGTCCCCAACCTTGTCGGTGATGTTGGGGTCAGCGCTGGTGATGTTGTAGAACAACTTCAGCATTGCCTCATCGCCCTCCCAGGCAGAGACGTGCAACGGAGTGAAGCCCTCGTCCTGCCAAGAAACAACGAGATAACGGTTCTCATCTGGCCAGGTGTTTGCCATCAATGACATCACTCTCCTTCATATGGCTGATATTGATGTCGAGCAACAGCTATGATTTTACACCGCGGTGATTGAGCCGAGCGATTGCGTCAGGGAGGTGCATCGTTGTGATGATGCCTCCTTCTTCGTGTATGCGAATCGGACAGCGAGTCGTCCTACGTTCCATGGTTCTATTCTGGGTGGCGACCAGAGTCGCCGCACACTGCCAGGGAGTTTAGTTTTCCATTTGTCGCATCATCATCGTCACCATCGTCAACATCGTCAACATCATCGTCGTCAAGTATCACCGCATCTGCTGCTGACGCCATGGTTTGTGTACGGATTCGGTTCAGGGGTTACGGCCCCATAAGCGTCGCGGATGATCGACGCCAGGGAAATTCTGCGTCGGATCTCTCACGAGCTCCATTCAGCTTTCCAAGCATCATCAGGCTCGACGCAGTGTCAGTTACATCATTGGCACTGCACCACAACGTTGCATTCCCCACATGACGCCCCGGTGGCGAGATGTTAACTGCATCGCCTGGTGTACAGGAGGTCGTGGGTTCTATCCCAACCCTGATGCATGTATATTTGGAGTTTGCATGTCTCTCTCTCTCTCTCCGTGGTCACGTGGACTTTTCACTGGGTTCTCCGGGTTGTCCCTCCACATTTAGAAACATGCATTTAGAGTATTTGGCAGATATACATTTCCACGTGAGAAGCCAATTCGTTGGGGTATAATTTGTGATAACTATGTCGTTTCTGAAAAGGAGCAAAGTAGCTCAGTGGGCCTTACCTGATAAAATACAAATAGTTTTTAGTTTAGTTTTAGTTTACATGACAACTCAACTACTGCCACTCTCTCTCCTGTTCAGCCTGCCCAAATCCACCTTCTCCAAACTCCATGGTATCCAAAAATGCGGCTGTCAGACGCCTTGCTCGCAGCCGCCCACATGACCACATTGCCCGAACAGTCCCCGTTCCCTCAACACTGGCTCCCGATCCAATCCCAGATGTATTTCAAGATCACTCTCACCGGCTTGGTGATCCTCCCTGGACTCTCCCCTTGCCTGCCTGCCTGTCCACCCTCTCACCTCCCTCCGTGCCACTCTCCAGCAACCGAGGATATCTGCTGGAGGACATTTCGTTTATTTCTTCTTCCAGTGACCACTGACTGACCGAACCTCTCTTCAACACGAGCGCGTTGCCGTTGAAACCGCCTTGAACTTCTCCCGCACCGTACGTAGCCAACCGTGCTAATCGGCTGCTCGCGCACAGCGTCTCGAGACGCAACGTCGCGTGCAGGCGCGGCGCGGAATAACCGCAGCGCAGTCCACCGCGCGCTGGACACGCGGGTCGGCCTGGCGGTGCCACGGGGCTCCCGTACGTTCTGGACGTCGGTCTGGGCGCCTGCTTCGACGAGGAGCCGCGCCACCTCGTGATCCCTCCTCTTGCAAGCGACGTGCAGGGCAGTGTCTCCGCTCCCCTGCGCGGGAGACATTCTCACGGTTGGCGATGCACGGGTTTGTTTCCCATTTGCAATGTTCAACGTCGTTGTGAATTGATTTACAGCGCCCTGGCAACGTCCACTGTTGGGTGAAGGCTGCGTCGGCCTGGGGTCTGGTTGTCGGATATCACGTGTCACTGGTCACAGCCGTTACTGGAAATCAAACTCAAGTTATTGGGTTCATAGGGCAGTGCCCGAACCACTGCGCCACCACTCAAACGCAGTGTTAATATATAAAGGATTAGACAAAATAGATAAAGGATACATTAAAACCATATTGGGGGGTTTGGGATTTGCGGGCCACAGGATCATGAGAAATGTCGATGGCTTGGGAAGGCCTTCATCCAGCAGTAGATTGCTCGTTGCTGAGGATGATGATGATGAGGACATTGTATGTTGTGATCATCATCATTGCAAATAAACATTATCGTCATCATTGTCCTCATTGTCATCATCTCCATAATCACTATTGCTGTGATGTGAATATTAATCATCGTCAGGGTTGTCATCAACATCACTGTCCTCATCATCATCATCTCCATAATCACCATTGCCGTCACAATCATCGTCGTCGTCGTCACCAGCAGTGTCGCTGACGCCGTGTACCTTCCAGCAGGCTGTGACCTGCGCGTCGGTCGCGGAGGCGAGCAGCTCCCTGCACACGGCCAGGTTGCCGGCCTCCACCGCGAGCAGCAGCGGCAGTCGCCCCTCCTGAGCGCACGCACGCACCCCACACCCCGCACCAGATCACTCTAACTCAACGTGTGTTGAACTTCTTTCGCGTCGTACGTAGCCCGCCGTGCTAATCGTAGGTGCGGGCGAAGGACAACGAAACTACGATACACAAAGCAGTTCGAAAGAAATTAGTTTTCAATCGAGATGATGATTTAAAAGTGCAGAGCTGCAGTGGCTTCCTGATACCAGAAGGAAGAGCGTTCCAGACGGCCGCAGAAGCGCATCTGAAAGCACGCGATGCGGTGACCATCTTTCTTCGATGGCCAGCCAAGATTCGCTGCTACGAGGATGACCGCAATTCGCGTGACGTTTCGCCTATTATTAAGATAATAGGCAACGGCGCAACCTCGCAATTGCTTGCTCACATCACTGCTGACAGAAGGGAATCTCAAGAGAACCTTACGAGAGGATATTTTGGGGTTTATTCAATCAACGCTGGCCAGACGTCTTGGAAGAGGTGGGAGACACCCCACAATTTACCCCACCACACGTGACCTGCCCATCGACGAACTGCTGCGAATCCATCGATGCTGTCGTGTGAGAGAGGGGTGAGGTATTTAAAAGACTTGGACCGTCGTTTCAACTGCTGCAGATCGAATGCAGCCAGCGAACCTCTGGATTGCAAGTCCGGCACGCTCGCACCGTCACACCACTGTGGCATCGTTCCCTTATCAGTAGAACACGATTCGCCTCTTCATTCACTCGTGGGCGGTAGCTCCAGTGCACGTGGTGATGTGACGCTCACGCGACACCTGACCCTCGTCGGTCAAAATTTGGCAAAGTTTGGCACCGTGACGCCGGCGCACGATGGCATGCCTCGTTTTCGAATGAAGTCCACCGGGTGTTGAACGCTAACCCCCGTGCGTAGCATTTTAACAATACACACCACGGTATTAACCGGGACGGCCTGCCCGGTGTCAAACCGCGAGCCTCTGCAACAACCGCGCTCCCGCTGGGCCGCGTCACCGCCGCTGCACACGACTTGACGCTCCGCTCCCAACTCGGGCAGCAGGAGAAAAAAAGTAGTAGCGCAAGGCGCGAGCGAACGCATTGAAAACACGTCTGGAGGAGCGCTGCACTACTGCACGCGCCCCTCCAAGATGGGATGGTGGTGGGAGGGGGGGTGGTGCATGCAGTGGTGCAGCCTCGGCCAGCACCGGGGGGCGACTGGTCGCTGGCGTCACCTCGTCGTGAGCGAGGCGCGCGTCCCTGCCCATCGACTTGAGCAGCATCTGCACGATGGCGATGGCACCCGAGGGTCTGGAGGCCGCCATGTGCAGGGGCAGCTGCTCGCTGGGCTGGTGGGGAGGGGGGTATTCACAACAACAACAACAATGAGAATCTTCTTGGTTCTTTTGGTAAAGTCACGTAGAAGGGAAATAATGAAATAATAAAATTTGAACATAATAAAATACAATTCTCACGACGTTTCGGCCACAACGCAAGCAGCCGTCCTCATGTGAAGAACAGGGCTGTCGGAAAGACAGCGTCCGAATGACTGCGTTGTGGCCGAAACGTCGTGAGAATTGTATTTTATTGTTTTATTTTTATTCTTTTATCATTTCCCTTCTACGTGACTTTACCGAAAGAACCAAGAAGATGAATCCCTGCAGTCACGAAAGCTTTAAATCGAAACAATGAGAATCTTTATTTAGACTGGAAGAGGAATCCGATAAGCTATGAAGCTCTTTGTTTTACAGATGTCCAGTGTGGGGCGGGTCAGCAGGTTCCAAGAGCAAACAAGACAAAAGGGCCACGTGGCGATCGGTAACTTAATGGCATGGCGTGGCCTCATCCAATATAATTGTTTCGAAATTAGAGGTACCACAATAAGCCGGGGAAGACAGCGAGTGAAGCACATACGGGATGCAACTGGGAGTGTCCAATGCAATGCTCTTGAGTAATATCACGGACAGAGATGAATGGAACGAAAACCATGATCAGGTCAACACGTAGGCTTTCGAAAAGCAATATCATCCATAAAACAGGTTTTTGGGGTTAGATCACGTAAATATAAATGTGTCGTTAAACCTGCCACCACCCGACACAGACAATTAGTAAGGTTTGTCACCTAAAAGAACGTGCCAATTCGTTACTAGTACAGCGCACCGGTGTCTTGGAGAGTAAATCCACGCAATTTCCAATCACAGTACGACGTTTCGCCAGTAATTATAACTAGCATCATCAGGCGGCAGCCAGATTTAAATATGGCTGTTCTGTTTACGTGACAAATTTTACTAATTGGCGGTGTCTGGTGGTGGCGGGTTTAACGACACATTCATATTTACGCGATCTGACCCAAAAAAAACTCTATTATGGAAGACCATGATCGCCAACGTTGAGAACACAAAGATGCCGAACCCAAAAATCTATTACGAATCATAACAGTGGCCGCGAACACCTACTACCTGTGAAGACGAGTACGTTACGTAGCTTATCCACAATCATGTTTTCATGCGACGCACCCAAAAATTATTTTCGCTAAGGGCCCCCGATGCTGCATGGGTGTGTGTGTCCCCCCCCCCATCATCGATGAAGAGACGCATCGCGGTTGAGTGATTACCCCTCCAGTGAGATTGGGGTCGGCTTTCTTGAGCAGCAGACACTTCACCATCTCGTCCCTGGACTGTGCGGCTGCGACGTGCAGCGCCGTGCGCCCGTCCTGCTCGGAGAACGGCACGTGGGCGCCCCAGGAGAGGTCAGGGGAGGAACACGCGCGGTGCCACGGTGGCTAGGAGATGTTAATTATCTCGCCTGGTGTGCAGGAGGTCGCGGATTCGATCCCAACCCTGACGCCTGCTGTATAATTGGAGTTCTCATGTTCTTTCTAGATTTGAAGCTTTCGTGACTGCAAGGATTCATACTCTTGGGTTCTTTCGGTAAAGTCACGTAGGTAAAAATAATAATAATAAAATAAAAATTAATGAAAATAACTAAATTAAATCTCTCTCCCACGTGGCCGTGTGGATTTGTCTCCGGGTCCTCCGGTTTTCCCTCCACATTTAGATTTGTGCGTTTCGATTATTTGGCTGCTATACATTTCCACGCGATAAGCCACTTCTGAAAAAGAACTGTACATCTCAGTGGGCCTTTACCCGGTAAAACAACAAGAATAGTTTCGTCTAGTAGTTTTAGTTTAGAGTGGCCCACGTGGTGTCCTTGCTGCGATTGCGAACACCGCGTCCGGGACTCGACCCAGCGGCAGCACATCGTGTCCGCCGCTCGTTTGCCGAGGTTCGAGGTTCACGTCGGCCGCCCTGCTTAATACTGCGGTGGGCGCCAACCATAAAATACCAGACGCCACTTGCGGAGCTCACAGTGGATGTTAAATACCCAACCCCCGTACGTAATTCGAAATGACGAGGCCATCGTGTGCCAGCGGCGTCATGGTCCAAAATTTGCAAAATTTCCCTACAAATTACTCGAAAATGGTTTGCACATCAAGGCAATCATCGCCCCCCTACTGACAGACTAATGCCCGTTTAAAGGCCAGGTTGCTGAGTGACCTTTTGCCGCACAGAGACAGCTGCCACTGAGTGGTGGGGGGGACGCGGTGACCTTTAAAATGTGTTGAGGTGAGGTGAGATGTAAGTCGATGATCGCATGTAAAAGTTGTTGTGTGAGTTTGGGTTGTTGAGTAAGGTTGTCGGGTTGTTGTGTGAGGTTGTTGGGTTGTTGAGTTGGGGTGGTGATCTCACACGTGCACGGTCGCCCAAATTCGCCCCCAGCTCCAAGAGGCGTTCAACCACCGCCAGGCGGTTGTCTCTTACGGCCATCATGAGCAGGGTGAGCCCGGACTCCTGCAGCCACCCCACAGACACAACGCAGACACAACACAGACACAACACAGACACAACACAGACACATACCCAACACAGACACAACGCAGACACAACGCAGACACAACACAGACACAACACAGACACAACGCAGACACAACACAGATACAACGCAGACACAACACAGACACAACAGACACAACGCAGACACAACACAGAGACAACACAGACACAACGCAGACACAACACAGACACAACACAGACACAACACAGACACAACAGACACAACGCAGACACAACACAGAGACAACACAGACACAACGCAGACACAACACAGATACAACGCAGACACAACACAGACACAACAGACACAACGCAGACACAACACAGAGACAACACAGACAGAGTGAGTGTGTGTGTAGAGTGTGTGTAGAGTGTGTGTGTAAAGTGAGTGTGTGTGTAGAGTCTACACACACACTCACTCTACACACACACTCACTCTACACTTACTCTTCACACACTCTAAACACACACACTCTACACACACACACTCTACACACACACACCTTACACACACACACTACACACACTCTACACACACACACTCTACACACACACACACACTCTACACACACACACTTTACACACACTCTACACACACACACTCTACACACTCACTCTACACACACACACACACTCTACACACACACACTCTACACACACACACTACACACACTCTACACACACACTCACTCTACACACACACTCTACACACACACACTCTACACACACTCTACACACACACACTCTACACACACTCTACATACACACTCACTCTACACACACTCTACACACACTCTACACACACACACTCTACACACACACTCTCTACACACACTCTACACACACACACTCTACACACACACACTCTACACACACACACTCTACACACACACACACTACACACACTCTACACACACACACTCTACACACACACTCTACACACACTCTACACACACTCTACATACACACTCACTCTACACACACTCTACACACACACACTCTACACACACACACTCTACACACACACACTCTACACCCACACTAAAAATGTATCTCGATGATAGCCGAGGCTTACTTCTGTTGGGATGCAGGCAAACAAGCAATGCTATGATGTGTCGATAATTGTGATGATTGGTGTCAATACTGCGTCAAATTGTAATGTGGACAAGGCAGTGTCGATGGACAATGCAGTGTCAACGATAACGATTTGACAATGATGTGCCAATCACGATGGATGACAACGCTGTCGACGACGATCGATATCAAATGCTCTGTGATAAAGGGGACGATGGGCAACGCTGTGTAAAGTGATGATGATGATCATCATCCTCACCTGCTCGGGGATGAAGAGACTCGCGTCTGGCCGCTCCACCGCACTGAGGAGGTTCTCCACGGCAGGCCACTCCGACTTGCTCGCCAGGCTCAGCAGCCGGGACGCGTCCCCCACCTGGGGCATGGTGCCCGCGCCTCCTCCAAGGCAGCCAGAGGGCTCCTGCGACAATCACCACGTGTCGTCTCCCAGACCACGTGTCGCGTCTCTCAGACCACGTGTCGTCTCCCCAGACCACGTGTCGCGTCTCCCAGACCACGTGTTGTCTCTCAGACCAGACTCCCACCACGTGACTCCCACCACGTGTCTCACACCACGTGTCTCCCTCCAGTCCAAGTTTAAAGACGCGTCTCTGGTCAACTGTGACCACAGTAAGGATGCCTTAGCGGGATGAAGACGGGTATTTCCTCATCTATATCCAGAACATATCATCAAGATTGTGGTGGCGCACGCCTGTGATCCAGAACTGTGGAGGCGAGGGTTAGTGGATGATGCAAAGATGTGCGAAACTTCCAAACTCGATGGGCTGCGTGGGTGGCCATTGCATGGCAGTTCAGCAAGTGGGTTCGTGACATTCGGCAGTGGAGACCTTCAAGTGGAATTCTGTTTCTCGCCACCTTCAGCAAAAGTCTCCTTTAAATTCGATTCGGTCAAACGACCCAATGCGGCAGGATTCCCGTGGAAAGAAAAAAAACAATAATTACATTGTGAATCCGTTCATCTCATTGCTGAGCCTTTGTATTCAGCAGTGGAGTGATCACGGCTGCTGCTGCTGATGATTGCTGGTAACGAATCCATCCACACGCGTTTAACGAGGACAACTGGGACACGGCGGACGAGACGAAAGCCCAATGCGCTCGGAGAACACCCCATCGTGGAACATCGCCTCCACAACAGCCTCTCGGCAGCAGGAGGCACGGTTCAACCCCCAGCCTGCGTCAGCCAGAGACCGGGACGAGCTTGCGATGGGAGCGATCGGCTCCAGTTTTGCGGTGCCTACCCCGTCGTTGGTGGCGACGCGGCGCCGTCACCCGCCTGCTAAGTCAACACACGCAGCCCTGTGGCGATGTGGTTATCGCGATACGGCAATGCCACGATATTATCGTACGGCATATTGGCCGCGATAATCGTATCGTCGTCGGTTTTTTTTTCTTCCGCGAAATATCTGCGCGTTGTTTTCCTCTTCTCTTGGAGAACGCACGTGGGTAGTCCACTGAAGATAATTAGGCACGCACGACGTGTTACATCACGCGAGGATAGGTAAGGACGCAATGATCTCTTCTGTAAATGGCAACGTGAGCATGAAACTAATTCTACTTGGTGATACTGCTGCGTTGCCAGTGGTGCACAAGCTAACAATGCTAGCCAGTTGATGTGCTGTGAAGTAGGGTCATTGCCGGAAACAGGCACTCGGTATTGTTTACTGGTTGTGCGTTTTCGGCGCTTTAGATGGCAACTTTGTGACGATTCAAACGCGGGGGGCAATGGATAGACGTCCCCACCCTGCCCCCCCCCACTTAAAAAGGGGGGAGAAATGGGATAAATGTACCCCCCCCCACTCCACCCCTACTCTTCTTTCTTCAATGTCCCACAGAATCAGAATTTGTATTCACACTGGAGGAATCCGATGAGCTATGAAGCTTTTTTCACAGCACGGGAGCGCACGCGACCCGGCCAACGTGAAGAGCCACGGCCGCTCCCTCGCTCTGGGCTCCTAGGGCCCTCCTCTCCTCATCTCTCCCTTTCTCTGCTCCTGATTCTTCTCTCACGTAGCCCACTGATTCCCTCGTTCTATAAATGGACCGGTGCATGTGTATAGTGTAGTGGCGTGACGCGCGCTGGGTAGCAAACAGCGGGTGCACTTCAGGGCGAGCGGGTGCACGCGTTAGGACGTGGACCAGGCGCCAAGGAGGAGCCAGCAATGAAGGGGAGAAGCGGTAATGAGGTTGGGTGCATTCGGGGAGAGGCAGTCCAAGCGTGCACACACGGGGCAGGCGCAGGAGAGACGGAGACGACGAGGGAGAGAGAGAGAGAGCACCTGCAGCAGAGGTCGCAACCGGGAACCCGATACCCGTACCCGGCCCGGTACGGGTACGGGTAAGGAATCAAAACCCGTTTGCGACCTCTGACCTGCAGTAGGCGACGCAGAGACGCCGGCTTCATAGGGGCAACTGATGACCCTTAATGAGGAGGGTGGATATAAAGGGGCGTGCGCAGGACACGGGGTTGAGTTGGTTGGAGCTGAAGGAACGAAGAGGACAAGAGCCGGAGACAAAGAGCATGGGACCTCGCCCTCCCCAGCGGTGTTGGCTAGCGGAGTAGTTAGTGGCAGGCTAGTGAAGAGAGAGAGTTCGGAGCAAGAGTGCGTTGTGTAAAGAGTGAGGAGCATCCGGTGTGGGATGCGAAGTGATAAAGTGACACAGGAGAAGCTGACAGTGTCCGTGTGAATACACCACTACACGTGTGTGTCGTGAGTTCAACTGAATCACAGACACACTCTTTGGAGACAACACATTTATTGATACCAACACAAAAGGGGTAACTGCCACTTCACCAGATAGCAACCTGTGGTGGTGGACGACCAGGGTAACTACACCCTGTGGTGGTGGACCACCAGGCTAACTACACTAGTTACACTGGGAGTAGCTACAACGGACAGGACCCCAGCTTGGGTCCATGTGTCGGTGAGATCGTAGATCTTCAGATGACAACAGCAACGCTGAACCCCCGGCTTATATCCTCACTGGTCGTGGCTGGCTCCGTCCTTGGCCACGACCACCTTCTCGAATCCTCTAGCTCAGGGGTGGGGAACGTCCGGCCCGCGGGCCGTTTGAGGCCCGCGAAATCATTTGGGTCTGACCCTGCCAAGGCAACCGCTAGCGGGCCTCGAAATTCAATAAATCTAGGAGCAAACCTGGAAAAGCAGTTGCGAGTAGCGACATAATCAATACCAGCTAACATCACACGCCTCGCCAAAGAGAAGCAGTTCATCACATTAGGGGTGAGTTAGTTAAACGTTTGACTACATATAACAGTGATTTAAAGCTTTTGTGACTTGCAGGGATTCATATTGTTGGTTCTTTCGGTAAAGTCACGTAGAAGGAAAACAAAATTTGTATTATTTTTTATTTAAAAAATATTTTATTTTATTATTTTCCTTCTACGTGACTTTACCGAAAGAACCAAGAATATAAATACAACAGGCTAATTTTTAAGTTGATAATTTAGTATGGCCCGGGAATGTGAGAAATATCCAAATGGCCCCTGGCAGATAAAAGGTCCCCCACCCCTGCCCAAGCGGGATCTCGCCCCAACACGTGACCACCCCGAGCCCCCACTTGGGGCCCCTGTGTCGACTTTACCAGTCACGTGTCCTCCGGTGTCAACCAGAGTGCCGTGGCCGAGAGTAACCCCGTTCCATCGCTGACACTCCCACACCCCATCCTGTAGGGGTCGGCACTGCACGCCGAGCGTGGTGCCACTCTGCGCTTTGGCGCAGCGCTCACCGTGCCTCTCTCGGGCCAGCCTTACACAGTAACGTCACTACATATGTATAATAAGTAAATCATGCAATTCCTATCGGATTGACGCTCGCTCTTGTGAGACAATGGAGACCTTCTCCCAGTGTTCTTCGCTGCTACGAATGTAAAAACACCCCTTGCAGGAGGCGTGGCGACCCGCACACACTGATGTCTTATCGGGGAAAGTGGCCCCCGCACCCCTCTGGAAATTAGTGAAGAGCACTTCCTTACAGATTTAACTAGACATCTATAGCTTGCCCATGAATCAGAGATAAGGGGAGTTGATGTGTGTTTGGTCCCAAGTTCCAGAGCTCGTAAACTTGATTGGGCCTCCCCAGCTTGACCATCAATGTAATGAAGTGCTCTGGAGTCAGGATGTATCCATGTCTCAAGTCGAGTTAGACTCCTAATGTAGTGTCAGGTTTCCCGAACAAGCTATTGTTAAACAAAAGTTTGTATTTTACCAGGTACGGCCCACTGAGCTAAATCGCGTTTTTTTCAGAAGGGACCTGGCCGCAAATGATAGCCCATTCAAGCGGCTTATCATGTGGCATCTTATAGAATATACTCCCACCTCTTCCAGGTCTGGCCAATGTGAAAGAATAGGCCACTATATAATCTAGGAGGCGTCATGAGATCTCATTTGCCAGTACCAAAATATTAGAAGAGGTTTTCCCCTTTATTTCTGGCAACAAAACAGCTGTGTTAAGATGTTAAAACACCAAACTGAAACCTTTTACAAGGAATCATGTCTGCACGCCTTTTGGCGTCCTCTGGTCTAACACCGTTTGAGACGAGGCTCAAAAGAAAGCTGTCTCTGGTGTGGACCAATCAGTTTCAAAGACAATGCATATATTATCAGAGGATGTTTTTTGTTCGCATTCTGAACCAAAGTATTGTGGTTAATGTAGACACGATTCCTTGTAAAAGTTTTCAGTTTGGTGTTTTAACATCTTAATACCTGGTTTTGTTGCCAGAAAAAAGGGGAAAACCTATTCTCATAATTCTAGGTTTCGCTCGAGCAAACGCCCTTTCACCTGCAATTCCAGGGATGCATCTTATAGACGCCGGCATGTTTTCACCAAATCGAAACGGAATGTCGAGAGCAATCATAGCAGGCAGAAGAATACAATCACTCCAAGTTGCAAGCAGGGACCGATGTAAAGTCATGTTTAATAATAAATTGAGCATGTTACAAAAACAAGAGTCGTTGTTTTCAGACTCGGAACTTGTGAAAAACGGCATGATTTATTTTTGGGGAAATCGCACCGTAGAGCCCAACTATGGGTCACTGGGATTTTATATACTGCACTGTAAGTCTTGAAAAGACCATCAACTAACTTACACACGGAAGGATGTGAACAGCAATTGGGCGGCATGGGAAAACACAAATCTCGTCGAATAAAACCATACTATCTACACAGAGGTTTAACCCAGACTACTTTTATCGAAAGCATCTATATACATTTGATCCTGATGGCGGTACTCCGGGGTACCAAATAATACAGAATGGACCAGGCAATTAATTTGTTTATTTCTGGGACACTATTTTTTCCAGGGGTGTACTTCACTCCGCGTCTGGGGTACCAATAAATCCGAAATCAGTGCCACTCCACGATGTCGAAACACAGCGAGGACGATTGCGCTGAAACCCTGCACGCTCGTACGCACCATAATGGTTCATCGTGTACAGCTAGTCGAGATGAGTCGATTGCCGCATCGCCGGCCATCAACAGACTAAACATGACTGCATCACGGACATTATGCGAGAGCTTGGGGTACGATGGCACCCCGGGGTACCGCCATAAGGTTCATTTAACAAAGCCAAGCATTCATGCAGCACTTTGTTTAAATCCCGAAATACATTATGTACATCCACCGACGCAATCTTACAAATTGACAACCACACCTCGGCTATGAACTTAAACGCGCTTAAAGAGACTTAACTGTCAATGAAGAGCCATGTTATTGTTTAAAACTAGCAAATAACAGCAAACAATATTTATCCCAATTGGTTTCAAAGGTGGTCGGTCACACGTTCAAGTGATGATGCAGAACTAAAGATTTACAAAAAGTTAATTAACTGCATCCACTAAAACAATTAGCAACACGATTTTTTTCATTTAAGTAAATTCGAATCACAAACACAGCTGTTAATAGCAACTCTCAATTCAATGACATCCAGTGTTGCGGCAGGGCTCGTCTTCCTCTTGTTGTGTGTGTTGTGCAGACCTGTGAAAGCATAATGTCCAAAACTCACGGGAAGAAAATGTTCATCCGTGATGTCATTGCCAGCGAGAGTCAGAAATAAAACTCGGCTTTATAAAAACAAAAACATCGTTGCAAGAAATGCAATTCTCGATGCATCCGGTGTGTCCATATGATCGCAACAGCGTTTCTTCAGAGCAGTCCAGAATTTATAAAATACAAGGCAGCGCGCCCTCCTCCTGCAGACGTCAAGATGGCTCTGTTGCGTGGCTCTCAATTCTCGTCTGCCTTCTCCTTCTCCTCTCTGCTCTTGCCCTTGTCCCGCACTTTGGTTCCATCGCTCTCTTTGTTTCCGTCGCTTTCTTTGTTCCGACCCGCATCCCTGTCGCGGTCCCTGCTCCTGGAGCGCGAATATTCGCGATCCCTGTCACGCCTCCGCTCCCTGCTCCGTGACCTTCGGTCTCGGTCTCTGTCTCGGTCCCTCTCGCGCTCCCTACTTCGAGATCTGTCCCTGCCCCTGTGCCGGTCCCGTTCCCGACTCCTGGACCGGTCCCGATCACGATCCCGTTCCCGGACCTTCTCCCTTTCCCTACTCCGAGATTTGTCCCGTCGGTCTCTGTCCCTGCTCCTGGAGCGGTCCCTCCGCCTGTCACGAACCTTGCTTCGGGATCTGTCTCTCGCTCGCTCCCTGTGGCGGGGTTTGTCTCGCTCTCTGTCCCGGTCCCTCTCGTGGTAGTCACGCTCTCTGTCGTAGTACTCTCGCTCGTGGTGGTCTCGATCTCTTCCCCTTTCTCTCTCGTGTGGTTTCTCACGAATTTTCTCCGGTTCGTTTTCTGGCTCCGTGTCCTTCTCAGGCTCTTCCTTGGAGACATTTCCCCCTCCCTTGCTAACGTCGGCCTCAGGTTCGCGATCCTTACCTACTACGAGCTCTTCTTCCTTCTCCTTGTCTCTGCCTCGATCGCGATCTCTCTCTCTGCCGTGTTCACGATGGCGATCTCGCTCCCTGCTCCTGCTCCGGTGTCTTCCCTTTCCTTCGCGATGGTGCCTGCTACTTCGGCCGTGTCTACTTCTGTCCCTGTCTTTTCCTCTTTCCCAGTCTCTGTCTCGATCGTGATCTCGGACACGTTCAACTTCTTGATCTCTCTCCCGATATCTCTCTTTATTTCTATCCCAGTCTCTTTCACCCCTTGGTCTTTCCCAATCCTCAGGAGTTTCTTTTTCCCACGGCATGCCGCCCTCTACCTCTCTCGGAAACGTTTCTGATAGAAAGTGCTCCTGTTGATCTTCCGGCCTTCCCCATGATTCCTCAACATGTTTTTCAATAATTCTGTCATCACTGTGGGAATCAACTCCCTCTCTTTCCACATTTCGATTATCTGGATCATTGAATGGCTCTGGAAAATTAGGTCGTCGACTGTGAGGCCCTTGCAGGTTAGGCTGCAGCAACGGCCCCTTGAGGGAACTGGTTGCCCTGGCTTGTCATGCTGATGCACTGGTTGGAACCCTGAAGGTATCTGCCCTGGAGGATTCTGCAAAAGGGGTCGTGGAAATCCAGGAGCCTGGCGGTCACCTCCAGGAAATCTTGGTCGAAGGCCATCATTTGGTCGAATGAGAGGGGTTGGAAGCAATGCCCGCTGTGGGCGAAATCCAAGTGATTGCTGGGGTCCAGGTCCAGGCTGTGACGGGTACTCTCTGTGTTGTCTGCTTCCCCTGTCCTGTGGGATTTCTGGAGGACCCTCTTTTTTTGAGCATGTGCTCCGGGCAGACCCTGACTACGAGGCGGCCCTCGAGAAAAATCAGATCCCCATGGTGGAGCATCTGAGGGTGGTGTATTTCGTGATTCTAGGGGACCGTGATGTGCAGAAACTGGAACACTGCCAAAGCCTGGGGGAGGTCCAGTTGAGGCACCCGATCGAGGTATATGCAGTGGCTGATTATCAGGCATGACTTTAGGTGGACCTTGCTCTTGAGGTGGACCACATGGAAATCTGGGTGGCGGGCCACTGATGTGTCCTGGAGGTGGCCCCCTAACAGGCAAAGGGTTACTTGCATGGCCTGGAGGTGGGCCACGTATGTGAGCTGGGGGGACACCAACGTGGCCTGAAACCGGGGGTCCTGGTGGCAACATATTGAAATGTTGTGGAGGTAGCGCCCCTGGTGGAGGTGGTGCACCTAGCCGAGGCATGCCATAGGGTGCCGAGTGCGGTGGGCCAGGTGGCCTGATAGCCATGTGGCTCGGAGGTGGACCCAAATGATGACCAACAGGAAGCCCATGCTGTTGTCCATGGACAGGCGGTAGATTGCCTAACTGTCCCAGTGGAGGGGCATGAGGTGGCTGTCCACTGACATGACCTGGTGGTGGGCCTAATTGATGACTGTTTGGAGGCCCTTGTTGAGTTGGAGGTCCTTGCCTATTGAAAGGTGGCGGGCCCAACAGTTGTCCTGGCGGTGGGCCCAGAGGTGGTGGACCCACGTGTCCAGGTGGTGGACCAAGGTGTGGTGGCATATTTGGTGGATGTCCAATCATGTTTGGTGGTGGAACAATAGGATGGCTTGGGGGTGGTCCATGAGGGGGTAGACCCATGTGTCCTGGTGGAGGACCTAAAGGATGACCAGGTGGAGGCACGTTGTGCGGCATTCCACTTGGATGACCTGGTGGCGGTGGCCTCAGGAGGTGAAGTGGAGGCGGCACCGAACGTTGTTGCCCGTGGATTGTGAGTGGAGGCCCGACGAGGGAAACGGGTGGAGGAGCGTCTCTCGAAACATCGGGTATTGGTATCAGTAAACCCGATGGATGCATGTCAACTAAAGACATATTACGCGAAGAATTGTCTTCCTCATACAGACTTTCTGTCATGCTTGTTTCAGGATCACATGAAGGTAACCCGATGTCATCTTCAGAATTGGACTGCTGAGGCAGCACCGCTCTGTGGAATGTACTGATGGACTGAATGTTTTGTGGGGCATCAGGAGATAAACGATGGTATGATTTGCGTATCCATTTTTTGCTCAGACTTTCCACTTTCGGGCGTTGCATTTTCCTGTTCATTAGAAGACGCACTATCAGCATCTTCAACGACACTTTCATCCTTATTTTCCGAACTAGTAAAAAGTTCCTCCATATCATACAAGTCATCTTTATCGTCTTCTTTAACCTCGTCTTTATCTTCTGAGACTTCCAATGACATCTCTTCAGTTTTATTTTCTGTAGATTCTTCCACAGCAGGATTATCCTCCTGTACTTTGTCAGCTTTATTTAGAATTGGCTCTGTGTCTTGCGGAACCTCGGCAATGCTCATTTCTTCGTCAGTTGCTTCAGGATCCTTTTGATGTTCTACGGTTGTATCTTCAACTGCAGGAGAACTTTCTTCAATCGCCTTCGGTTCCGAGACCGTTTCAGCCATCTCCGATGCTTCGGGTGTGGACACCTCTTCGACAGGCGTGTCCACTTTGTCCGTGACTTCAAGTGAAACTGCTGGAGGAAGAGGCAAGGCAATGGGCACTTCGACTTCTTTAGCCGAAACATTCAAATCCACTTGCAATTCTTGAGGTTTGGCCTCAACAACTGATTTGACGTCAAAGTTTGACGACTCGCTTGATTTTCCCACATCAGGCTTAACAGCTTCCTGGATTTGGAAAATTGGAAGTGGAATGGAACTCGCTAACTGGTTCCGGTTGGCTGCTTGTCGTGGGTCCCGGCTTGCCATGAGGTATGACTGGGGAGCAGCCGTCTCCTTGATTTTTGGTGCTATGTCTTGCTCTCCGGGCAGGCGTTTCTGCAGCTCTCCCGAGTTGAAAAGAGATTCAGGGTTTCCCAGTCCTGGAATCAGGCTTTCGAGTGTAACGTAAGGTGTCGTCTCCGAAACACGTTTTTTCTCATCAAATATGGTTTCATCTTCTGGATCGTATGCATCTTCTGGATCGTACGGTCGGTCATCATTTAATTTATTCACATCCGCAGCTCCACTGAAATGTTGAATAATTGAGTCAAAACCACCTGCCTTGGTGCTAAATGGAAGAATGGATGAGCCAAAAGCAGAAAATGGCAAATTTATTTTTTCCTTTTCTGGCTCTTTCGGAGTCTCTTTGGGAAGCTCTTTATTGCCAAACAGCGTTTTCAGGATGTGCTCCAGTGGCTTCATCATTGGCTGCTGGGAAGCCGACGTAGTTGGCCGCTCTGAAGCTTTGTCTGAAAACAGCTTTGTCAGGAGGTTTGATTGAGCGACGGGCGGTGGCGGCGGCGGCGGTGGAGGTGGGAAGTCGGGCGGCGTCATGCCAACGTTCGTGTCCTCGTACTTGTGCCGATGTTTCTTGCTTTCCCTGCGCTGGGAGTACGATGACTCGCCGGCGTCGTACGAGTACTTTCCCTTCTTCTCCTCGGGGCTATTTCGAGAAGATTTTTCGTACTCGGCTCCGCCTTCGGAAGAATCTCCCTGATGCCGACGCTTGGACTTTTGCTTTATCACCAGGCCGAGCAGCATGTGCGATCGCGAGGGTTCCAAGCCTGCAAGTCAAACACGCAATGAGGTTACGAAATCACGGGCTTACAAATGCATAAACTGTTTAGTCTTGAAATGCGCCAACAATTGCCTTGACAGAGGGAAAAGATGTGCACATTGGTCAATGCCCATTACTTATCAGGTGAATCACACACAGATCATAACCATAAAACAAATATTTGCTAATAAACTTATTTCAATATACATACAGCCAGACCTGGATCTTTGGAACGCCAACCTTTTCAGAAGATAGCTGCTATAGTGGTACTTTTCGACACTCTTATTGTGGTGGTATGTAATATTGTCAGTGTTTTTAACTGCAGTGTGATTCTTTGGTGCATATTACAAAAAAACAAGGACATACACATCAAGTCACGTTTAATGAAAAGCTTTTATTCGAAAACTAGTTTTTGATTAAATAGCAACCAAAATACACCATATGATATATAGGTATTACATGTCTCTAGACTTACCAACATCCATTAGCCTATACTCTTTGGTTTTTTCGGTAGTCACGTAGGTATAAAATAAATCACGTTTCGGGCGCAACAAAGCGTCCGTCATTAGGTGGGAAAGCATGGCCTGCTGCTGATGCAGGGAAAGTGGCCCATCGATGTCCATTGTTAAGGAATGCATCTCAATACCAATGCACTGACATTATCTACTGACACAATCAGTGCAATGCCGTGCAAAGTGCAATCTTTTACTGAACAATAACTTGCAGCATCCAAGAAATTACTGCAAAGTCCCATATTAGTTGTTGATTGCATCTTTAAAAAAACGAGCTATACTGCAATCGCTGTTCACTACTGTATTATACTGGTTATCCTTGCTGGTAGCAGTACCTACTGCCATACCTTGGCACCAACAGCATGGCGAGGAGACAGATGTGTCTACCGTGTGGCTTTGCGAATTCATCCCACTGTAGTCGTCCATTCCAGGAATGTAATAAACCCTCAACCAGTGCAAGAATGCTACACAACAATCTAAAGTTTGTATTGTTGAGCCACTCGGCAGTGTTCGTAAAGAACACATCCAATTTTAATTTGCGCACAGCCAAACCCGCTTCATGCATTCCTCAAAACTATATCAGTGGGCACTTAGCCGTTACAAGTTGACAAAATATATCTGCCAACGTAAACGGTCGTGTATAAAAAGTCCTGCAAGCTACTCCCATGAGCTGCCAATGCAATTGCAAAGCCACCCACGCAGTTCCACTCGCCCAACTTGAGCCACCACAAACTTCTAAAATACTCTCAATTTATTGATCAAAAACTTTCACACAATCGTGCTGGACACGCCGAAACTCTGCGCATCTCTCGTCATCGGGATCGACGCACGCCTCCCCCACTTATCAAATTCAACGGCAGGGCCCACGCACGCGCGTGCAGTACCTGTGCATTAGCCCTGGCCGGCCACCAGGGGGCGCCACTCAGTGCATTGTGAGAATGTTCTTCGGTCGGAAGGTCTTGCACGAGAATTTCACTGGGGTGGGGCGGCGGCGAAGGCTCCTGCAGAATGCCTTGCAGGCGCATTGAGGCGCTGCAGCACCTTTGGTGTGGGACTGATGTCAACACGAGTGGGTTTTTTTAACCTATATTTTCCGTACCGAAGTAACCTCTGACCTGCCAAGGTCAGGGCTGTGCATTCAATTACGGATTGTTGTACTGCTGCCATTTCGTTTATAAATGCGTGAATTTCAGTCGCCAATGGAATGTTTATTCGTTACCCAAGAACAAAATGTAACGTCTTCGCTACTTGGTAGAACTACCTTAAAAGTTGATCTTGAACACCTCTTTAGGTCACCGAACCCAATACACGACTGCAAGTGTGCAATTGGTACACCAGCGTAACTACGATTATATCAATGGCATACTAGATTGACTCAAACAATATTCTACACCACTAATTGGTAAAACTTCAAAAGTTAACTTGTACAAAGTAACCGTTTCAGATAACCTAAACCATGTGTAATTGCAGTAGTGTGCAATACACTGTTTCTACAATTTCCTGAAAAATGTCCACTTTCAAGTGAACAGCTGAGCTTAAATTGCACTTCACGAGGCTGTAAAATGCATCTTTGCCAACTGTTCGTACGGCAATCCACACTGATTTTGCTCAAATGTATGTTTGCGTCACTGTATTTATTGACCAATGCGTAAACGGGGCTTATTTTCTCACTCAAAACTTTCTGGAACGTTACGTGGCTGGCTTTGAGTAGGTATTATCAGCAAAAGGTACTCCCACTAGAGTTAAGGTAATTTGCAGGCAAAATGAAGCGAGGCGGATGTGGCGTGCCACAATTATTCCCGAAACAGCTTTGCGGACGGACTGTTCCAGCCGCAATTAGGGCACTGGGTAACACAATGGTCAAACGCACGACGACTCAAGCGGACACTGCACAAGGTCTCGGGGCTCCTGCGTGTCGTGTTGCTCCAGACCAAAACTGGCGATCACCTCTGCATCGCGTGGCCACAGCGCAGCCAACGCGCCCGTTCCCCGGTCGCCCGAGGAAAGAGGTCGGCAGGTTTTGGTGGCTGTGAATCCATCCGAGATGGGGGCCCGTCCCTTCAAACTCGAAGCGTTGGCAGGTGGGCCAAGAGACGTCTTTCCACATCGAGGTTCACACTGCTTGCTGTTGCCGCCCACGTGGCAACGCTAACCCTGCTGCTTTCGTCCACCAGTTCATGCGCCTACAGTATCACCAGCCGCTAAGTCAACCTTTCCCACAGTTGTAGTGAAATGCACATGTCCATATTAAACAATCAAAATAGCACGCAGTAGAAGTGTTCTTTAAGGCACTGTGAGAATCATTGAGTGCAAAGTAACCTCCACAGATATACAAATCCTTTTCAAAGATGCACCACGACTATTTTTCCAACTGCAGCGTAAGATGTCGGGGCTTTTCTTCCATTGCGATAGTATTAAAACGAGTTTGTCTTGCTTTGCAGTAACACATGCACGCAACACTGTGTGATGCACTTGCAAATATTAACATTAATTAAAACATGTACAGTGGATATCAAAACACCCTCGCAACCTTTCAGGAAAAACGTATGTGTGCAGGTGCATTTGAAATGTGAGGTGAGTGTCTAACGCACGTGTGAAAGTCTGTGTAGGGCAGGTTAAGTGTGCATTTTTGCTCCGCGGCTGCCGATACGGACGGGGCATTTCTGTAATCTGGCTGGAAAGTGAACCAAGGATCCAGTCTGGGGTCTCAAAACATTTATTTTTCACTGCAAAAAGAGAAACATTTCAACATTTACACACACAGAGCAACTGTACTCGAAATCTATACCGTAGGAAACGGCACACGATTTGTACCGAGATACTGAATCATACGTGGAAAGGTTTTACGATGAGAACATTTCAACATTAACAGAAACTCGTCACCAACTTGCACGCACTGAAATAAAACGGCAAGCAAAAGTTATCATCGACATAAAGTTACTGCCATACAACAATACCCACCTGGAAATGAAACCATTCAGGAACGGATGAAAGAGGCTGAGAAAACATCTTGTCAAAAAGCGTTTCCATATTTTAAAAAACTCATTGCAAAGGATTACCGACTTTTCCGTTTAGAGAAGGCAAGAATGTGAAGGACGGAATAAAAGGCGGCATTCTCTGAAAGAAAAGTTACTTTAAAGCGGAGGTGCACGTCGCAAGACCCTCTCGGGAAGGTAATGAAGCCCGAGGTCGAGCATGGAAAGTGCCGTCTTAGGTTTGATCTGGGATAGAGATGCACCGGAGAAACGGTGAGCACGAGATGGTGACAAGAACGAGTGACAGGCTTACCGGGACCGTCGAAAGGCAGCAGCTGATGGGGGATGGGGTCCTGCGCCGCCAGCGGGATGAGGTACATGTCCTTGAGGGACTTGGAGGCGTTGCCCACCACCCCGTAGCGCTTGCGGCTGTTGAAGTAGGAGTAGAGCGAGATGTAGGCGACAGCCTCCTCCTCGGTGGCGGGGTGGAAGCGGATGATGCACACCTCCTGTGAGGGGTGCGGTCGTGGGGGCACAGCAACAAAGCACAGCGGGAAGAAACGTTAAGGTGTGAGACCACGTTTTGAAATAGAGATCTGGACGATTTCCCACAATGGCAGTGGTGCTAAGCACAAATTAACAAAAACCATGTAATTCGTCAGTAACATTGCCTTAAAGGGAAAAAAAGTCATAGGTGATATAAATAATGAGTGCAGGGCGATTATCCAAAATGTATACAATTTACATATTTACATTTTTCAGGCCGTGTTACTGACAAATGTAGAGTATTTTTTACTAGGTTAAGCTGACATTTAACAGGAAGTAAAAAACACATGACTCCAAATGTGTTGTTCTTTTAAAATACCAGTAAAGACCACAAATACTGGGCAAACCATTTAGATGACCCATTAAAAATAGGAAAAAAATCATAAGAAATTAGGGCCTATATACAACTCCCACCAATCTCAAAGTATGTGTTAATATCTTTAAATCTCTCCAGAGACTTATCTAACACTAACGGTAAGTACCCGGCATTGCCCGGGCAAAAAAAAGGCAGACTTATCTAATATATCTTCCAAAATATCTAATCATCTGATGATGACCATTTGAGATAAGTGGGGTAAATCTTTAACCGTCTTTGCAGTAGACTGGCATCACAAAATAAAATGTATTTTAGACGTATTCTAAAGTCGAGAATTTTCAATAATATTTACAAAGAGCAGGTAAAAATTGGCCACAGCCAGCTTAACATGATAAACGCTTTGCATTTACCATGTTACAAGCTTTGATTAATGCAGATAAAGCCGTGCATCTGCTCACACATTGGCAAAGCAGATACTGCCAAATGCCAGAAGCACATTTGCCATGGCATGGATACTCAACACTAATGCAATTAAAACCGGATCGTTCTCACATCAAGCACAACGGCAGACACTCAAGTTCACCTTAGATGCCGAAGATTTAAGCTTGCCCACGTAATCCCAAACCATTTTTGCTAAGATTCTCCCTCCAACATGGATGGTGTCGGGAAGTTCCTGGATTAGGAAGGCATGAAAAGTTAGTTTCAAAAGAAATGCTAAAAATTACAATGAAAAGTAATAAAACGATGCATATTCTGTGACTGTGCATGACGAAACTCATCCACCCGGTCTCATTTGATCAAAGGCAAACAATGACTTCACGGTGGAAACTTAACAAGATTGATAAACGTTGATAAAAATGTGTAGATTTAAAATGTTGCCTTTGGGGCCTGAGACCACAATGAGTAACACAAGCCATCAGATTGTAATCAAGGCTGCAGAAACCTTAAATCTTCCAGATGTGGACATACACTTCTCTGCCCGTAAAAAAAAATCATCTCAGCTTAAAAAATCCAAACTGTCCACCGTGTTTCTTAAAATGCATTTCCCGACATGTTTAAATTCACCCGAGCCTTAAGACACTTTATATTTCAAAGAACAAAGCCTGTTACCAAAGGACATTACCATCTTACCTCCGCCACATTGGCCATGGATCCAGAAACGGGGTAGGCCTTAGCCACCACCTTGGCCACACCATGCATATTGACGAAGCCTTTCCAGAGACTATCCAGTCGTGCATTATTCTGTGGTTCAATCTCCTGGCTACACAAGTGCAGGCGATACAAAAGTGTATAACATAAAAAAAATACAATGTTTACACTGCACGGCCGAACCGAAATCCAAACAAAATGTGGAAATGTATATACCGACGCACAATACCATACTGATCTTATCGAAGAGGCATGTTCAGTAGGCATGTGATAATGCATACTGTCCCTCACAATGTCATTATGCACAAGCTGTCCGTCTTTAAGTTAGTCCCATAAAAATGATCCAACATGACCATGTAAACCAAGGTTGTGCTGCCATTAGGGATGTGCACGAAAGAAAAACAACTGGTTTAGTTGAACAAAGAGCTGCGCGTGCCCTCTCCGGCACAGCGACTAACCCAGGCCCTGTGGTCCCACCGCGGATTAAGGTCACACCGCTTCCTGTGCGACTGGAGTGAGGACTACATTGTCGTGAATTAAATGCTTCCGAGACCGGATGCACGTTGGAAAGCGTTGGAGAGAAAAATGCACATGGAGAGTTTTTCTTCCTTGTTTGCATCACCTTTTATACAATCTTGTTCATTTTGTTTCGTGCGTTAGTAGTAGTCTATTTAGTAAATTTTTGTTGTCTCATGTGCACTACCTTCTTTTTATGTTTTGTTTATTATATTGTCATATCTGTGCCAATACTTGAAATATTCGTCTATCATCTCATTTGTAACATTTGTCTCATCAAACCTCATTCGTTTTGTCTGTACTGTCACACGTGGTATGATCTCAATGTACTCGTGTCATCTGCAGTTTGTCATGCCCATTATTATCTTCTAGATTTGAAGTTTTCGTGATTGCAAGTAAACAATGAATTTATTTATTTTGATTTTTTTCCACCTAGTGACTATACGGAAAGAACCAAAGAGTATGCATTATCTTGTTTGTTCGATCTGTTTTGTTACAATGGTAGCCTCATTAGTCTTATCTGTACCTCATTTTTGTCTCGTGTGTACCGTTTATATTGTAGCACCTAATCTGTTGTTTCATCTGTACCAACATATTTAAGTCTATTTCATCTGGACTATCGAGTTATTCAATTTTTGCACACATTAATTTCTCATTCGAACCATTGGCCGAAAAAAACATTTACATTACAATCTTCACAAAAATACATTCTTAACCCACATTTCAATGAATGTTTTGTGAGCATAAGAATCGATTTTTACAAATTAAATAATAAAACATTACATGCCTAATGTTCAGCACAAACAATGCAACCGAGACCTGCCCAGGTTGGGAAAGTTTAAAAAATCTTTTAAGACTTTAGTCAGGATAATAGGTTTAAAACCTAGCTTCTAAAGCAGAATGCAGAGAAATAGTTTTCTATTGTAGATATGACCGTGATATGACAACTCATCCAACATAACCCTTATGGCAGTCGACCCTATGTGCTTATCATTACTATGGCGCAAGCAACAGCAAATCAGCTCGACGTTTTGTATCAATCACCCACAAACATCTGATACTTTCTTGCTGGCCACTATTTAAACTAATTCGGCACAACAAACATGTTCATCTTTGTGCACCTGATTGGGTCGACTACAGTACACTATAAAATCTGTAAACATGCTACATCTGCATATATACTTCGTAAAACTAAATTGTTCATCAGATCACACAAGTTTTATATTTTATGTTACTCTTAAACATGTAAAACATTGGCAATATTTGACCAGAGAGAATACTTAACTTTCCAACCTTAAAACGGTTATCAATCCTACTACACCTCGTGTGTCATAACTGTATAATCAAAAGCATTAACTTTCATTAAACCAAAACGCATGAAATACATTTTAAAATGTGCCGATTTGTTTCACATTAAACATGCATAGTATTTAACATTTAAAAACGAGGTAATTAAACCCATTCAATTAGAAATGTCATGAGTATATGTAAAAGTGTAACCTTTACAATAGTTAATGACCAGCAAAGTGTGAATTCATGTGAAACCATCCCTTTAGCAACAGACTGACGACTATGTGTTGAAGCAAACCTCAACCGTTATTATTAAAATGACCAGTATCTTAACATTATGTGTAAAGTGCCGTGTGAATGTTTGAAACACTATAAATATACCACATCCCACACTAACTGAAACGGGTAATAAGTTGCATGTGACTGCAGCACCTGACGACAGGTACAGAGATGATCGGGGGAGGCTTGACAGGCTCTGGACTGGCTGATCTCTCCTCCTGTATCACTTCTGCAGCGGAGGCAGGAAGGGGCACTGCTGTGAATGCCACCAACGTTGGTGAAGCCGAGACGGACTCTGGTGTCCCTCCAGACACAGCTGCAGGCTCCTCTGGTGAATCCTGCATTGCCTGTGTGGAAACCTGGCTCGCTGGTGTCGCGACGGGGGAAGAAACGTCCGCAATCGGTGTAGGTTCGGCTAGAGGGTGGGTGGTTGGCCTGTCCATTGTCGAGTCGGTTCGCTTGGTGGGAGAAGCGCTACTGGCTGTTGGCAGGGAAAACTTGACTTTTTTGGCCGTCGCCTCCTCGCTCGGTGGCGGCATGCGGCCTGCTCAAGACAAATTCACACACACACACAAACGCCAAGACAATTCAAGATAATGACCATCATGACCAACACCCATGCATTAGAAATTAAGGCCCATAAACCGGTGACGAATTCTATAAGCAGCCCATACCAGAGTGCTTATTTATAACCATGTACCAACTTTGGTCCCAAGAATGGGTGATTTCTTTCCCAAAATTAAACTAAACCGCTTTGATAAAACTTAATTGTAATATTGTGGTAGTTGTTTTAGGCTGTCCCCGATTTAACTATTTCATTAGTTGCAATACCGCACTTTGGCCATAAGGTGGTGCACTATGCAGATTAACATGGCAAAAATATTGTCACTTTCACCAAGGTCAAAAGTCATAGGGTAGTTTAGTTCATCAATACCATACATCCCTGGTGCCTTACAATAAAAATGCGCAATACCCCAGCCTCTCGATTAATACTACTAGAACGAGTGATGGACTTACATGGAACAAAACCAAAAGCGTTATTTTAGCAGTACGGAGGCAGATAACTTGGCAATGTGACAATCCATGAAAAGTGTTTCATGATCAAGCTTGACTGCACGTAGTTGGTCACATCACGAATGACAAAAACAAAAAATTGTTTCCTTCTCCAGAACAACTTTACCAAAGTAAAATTAACTAGTGTAAAAGAGTGAATATTACCAAAACGACATGATTGCATTTGAAAATAACATTGCTTTTCATACGTAGATGCCTGTAGGATGTCTAGGGGAAGCCGATGCATGAAATACTGTATATTCAGTGTATGGCGATTAGGTATAAAAGTGAGCTTGAGTTACCTGAATTGCGGACGTAATAGGCATGAGGACCCACACACCTCCATTTACAGGTAGGATAATTTCACATTGTTGGGATTAACAAAAATTCCATAATTTTGCAACTCACTCATTTTCATGGTGTTTTCAAGCTTTGCTATACTTCCATTAAGTAAACATTAGTTATTCGACTGCTGTTCACTCAACATAAGCCTCCCATAAGTATTCAAATTTTTGAAATTCATAATCAATATTATAACAATCTGCCAGCAATACGTGCAATAACATAAAAATACAGATTATGCAAAGATGGCATTGTTTAATCACCACGCCATCACTTACAACATAGCAATTAAATGGGTAGTAGCCATTTATCTAAATTATTGGTTTTCATTTTTTTTCTCCCGCACCTCTGATTAGCGCGGTTGGCAACATACAGTGCGAAAAGAGGTTCAACATACATTTCTGCTCGGGAATAAAATACAAAAAGTAACAATAATCGACAGCTATGATGCCACATCAAGTTTATAAAGACTGAAAAAGGCATCGGTCTCTAAATGTACGCATGTGAGCTTACCTGGACATATGGAATACCTGAATAGATTCTGTAATGTGTGGCTGGCAGGATGTGACCGTGTATTATTAATTATGTATGTGGATATATAGGATACAGTACAATCTCTTCATCCGAGGAATTTCTTTAGTGGCCTTGAATTATTCGCGATTTTACATTTGTATACCATACTCTTTGGTTCTTTCGGTAAAGTCACGTCGGTAGAAAAATAATAATACATCAGTGGTGGATCACGCCCCTGTGTGCTTACACGAAGCCATTGTGTAACGCGGACGCCATGCGCTCACACGCACTGCGGGTGCGCAGACGTTGCCGCATGCATTTGGCCGTCCAACTCGTCAAGGACGTGCCCCCTACGGACGCCTCGATGGCGTGTCATTAACTTGAAAGTGACCATGACGTGTTGTGGTCGAGATAAAGATTCTAAAATTACTACGTATCATTTCTTTGAGAATATGGGTGTTATTTGTGTGTACAGTACAGGATAAATGTTATTTAACATTTCAATCTTCTCCCATATTTAGTCGGAGGGAACCTCACCCCCTTTACCCATATATCTACATTAGCAAATTCTACCTTCATGCACATTTTCGAGAATCTCAAGGGCTTACCGTAGAGATTTGTAACTATATGGTTTTGTGTATGGAAAGGGATGCATATATATGTATGGATAGGTAGTCAATGTACATGGTGTGAATTAATCTGTATGCACGAGTATGTTTGTGAGTGTACAAGTATCTGTATCTGGTTATGTATACAGATGTATGTTTTTGTAGGATTTGTAATGTCACGAGAAAATATTTTCGCTATAAAACATAGTATATAGGGTCCCCACAAACACTATAATGAGGTGAGATTTTACTGTATAGCAATATTTTACAAAACGAAACATTATAAGACATCGTACAATGTATATCGTCATATTATAGCAACCTTAGTCTTAGATACTGGAGCTTGACACTGATGACTTAAAATTACCTTTTCCTAAAGTTGACAGCAGTCACCTGCTGCCCTGGAGTCGCATGTGGCTCTTTAATGACTGCTTCGTGACGTTATCAAGGACCGCCTCTCGTATTCACATGCATTGACGGCTCTTGAAATAAGAGTTTTTTTTACCGAATTCGAAAAAAATGGCTCTTCTTGTTATTATGGTTGCCAACCCCTGGACTACACAGCCATTATGTAAATTATCAAATTTAGCAAAGGTGAGAGGAAGCCTGCACAGTTCAATGGGCTGGACTTTAAAAAACTAGCAAAGCTTCTGGGTTCAAAACAGGTGGTGTATGCAGAGTATGGTAGGAATTTCATGGAGGTAAAAGGTGAAAAATAACATGCCATGATGGTATAGGATGGCAGTTTATCAAGGTAGACAATGAGTTGTACTCAGCAGAGGTCCATGACCTTGGGAAAAGCCAGATGGTGGGACCGTGCAATTTACAAACATTGGAAGTCAGGTGTTGACTTTGAAACTCTAGGATTTCGCAGGAGGAAGTAGTGATGGTGAAGTGCAGTGACACCAACTTCGTGATGACTTCTTGATCTCTCCTTCTTTATCGTGGAAACTCGGTAGTTCCTTGAAAATTAGCAACTCTATATTTTTTTAAGCTAAATCATTACATTTGGACCATATCCCACAATTCCATTACTTAATGGCACACCCGATGAGTGCCAGCGTAAACCTTTTCCATCATTCAGTAAAAATGCATTATTTCATAAATGAAACCTGGGTGCAGTGTTTTACTCTTCGGAGTCATGTATAAATATATCAAATAACTCGGGTAACCAGAAATGCATGAGTCAAGTTGTTCAAGCACTCCATATTTGTGCACTGTCATTGAAAGTACAAAAAACTAGCTCAAGCGCAATAACCAAATTAACTATTCCAATAATCCTCTTTACAAAGCAAAGTACAGGAAACCTTAAGTCCTTGCAGACATTTCCCAGATTTAATACGGTTTATATTTATAAAACGGCTAGGACCAAATCACTCATAATTGAGCCTTATTGATATATCCCCAAGTCATTAAGTAGAGAGCCTGTACCAGTGCTGGATAGGTGACCACCATGCACAAAAAACAATCTAGGATTTGTGGGCAGCAGAGGGCAGTGCAAGAAATTCCATTGATGTCGTGTACTCTCCGCACCTTCACCAACCCCGCAAAACACTGAACAGCGTGAAGGTCAAACATCTCTCGTGGGCTGCGAGGTGTGGTGGGGGCACACCACCTGGCAATGCACTGATAAACAGCTTTACATATTCGAGTCCTATATTGCATGAGTGTAGAGAGTTTCCATTTTGCTGAGATCCATCACGGTTACCTGTGCAGATTTTACAATTGAGGTCAAAAAGATGAGCCTTGTGCTGGTCAGTGGTGTCGGTGAGCATGCTAGACATGATGTCGGCCTTTGCAGTCTCAGTCTTGCAGCCCTCAGGAACGCTCTCCTCTGCCTCCTGCAGACCACACACCCGGTCATCAGCTGGTGTAAAAAAGCGTGCAGCGCATGGTCCTACATGACACAGCATAGCAGTTACGGCAAAACTCAAATGGGAAAACTGGACAAAGGTCGACCTCAGAGTCAGGATGTGGAGGACTCTCCTCCATGTCCACTTCCACCTTGTGCCGATGCCTCCGCTCCAATTCCCACGACTCTCGTTTCATCATCTGGACAGGACCAACACGTACATTCATGTTTAAATGCGCTCTATAAAGATATGCTACGGCACCAAAAATAACAAGACACCCATGTGTTTATAAAGCTCAAGAAAAACGTCCGAGGAGAGACATCTTACCTTACTGCTGTCCCTCTCCCTCCACAACGCAAGCTCGCGGGATGCCAGCTCCTCAGGGCTCAAGCGAACCAGGCGAGGCGCCGTCATGTCCCCCACCAATACGCGCCGGAAGAGGCCCTTCATACACAGCGCAGTAGTAATCGTCAGCCACTTAATGCACACACACCATCAAGCAATGGGGGCAGCAGCTGTGCGAAATGTGTGACGTTAAGACTCCCAACCTGGTTCTTGGGGTCTTTCAGGTTGAGGATAAGGCCACGGACTTTGCCCTTGTAGCGGCTGTCCGTAGCCTGGAAGAGCAAGAAGAGCTCCTTCTCGATGCGCCCTGCCACCTTCACCAACTCCTCCTCCGCCACGGTGAGGTCGTCCGAGTCGCTGCACCTGTTGTGCACCAGGGCAGGTTGAAGTCAATGGTCCAACACAGCAGAACGTCCAGCAAAGGTACAGCCCTGCAATGTCTTGCTCATGTCACTCTAAGAGCAAAGGCCTCTGTTAATAGAAGCTCTAGTGAGCACCTCGGTGTATTTGGCACTCTTCCACATCTTGGAAGAAGTGGGAGTACCCACATTTTACCCCACAACATGCAACCTGCCAAGTGACTGTGGTGTACCCATTTACACTCAAAGGTGCACCGAGGTGGGATTCAAGAAACGTGAAATTTGTTTCAACAGCCACATTAGGAGCTTACACCGGTGACATCTGCATTACAAGTCTAGTACATTAACCTTTATATTATGGCAGAGCCTATGGTAAAACATTCACAACCCGAAATACAATCTAAAATTAAACTGTTTGCTAAAATGCAAGAAAGATATAAGAAGTGCTGTGAAAAAATACACTGACAAAGGTCGTTGACAACCAAAATATAACAAGTGAAACATTTTAGTCTATAGTCCTGCAGGGCCACATCAACGTATGTTCACACAATTTGTTTAAACAGGCAAGATTGGGATAAACATTGATTCATAAGACCCAAATGCTAAATTAGCAAGTGTTATTTAATGCTGGTAAAACCATATCTATTAAGTCTAAACCGTATTTTACCAAGACAATATATAACGTTATACAAGATTATGAACCTTAACATAGATTGCTATAATGGCAAGTGAATTATTACGTAAAATGGAGCCTCCTGGGATAAAATATATGCACGTAATATATATATATCAAGTTCAAACGATTGAGAAGCACCAGCCTATATATTTTTAAAATTAAACCAGTTGAACAAATGTGGGCTTCTATTTCAACTTTACAAAATAAAGCACCGATGGCTCAGCTAAACATCAGTTGTTTCATTTTACACGAACATGTCTATTTACCGTTTGGCAAGAATATCCTTTAGTGTCCTTCGAACATTCTGACGGATCTGTTCCACAGATGGGTGGTTCTTTTGGTGGCTCGACGCTGGGTGGCTGCCAGAGGGTGCTACAGTCTCCTTATGCAGTATTTTCTCCTTGGAAACTGAGCCAAAAAACATTTCACGAAACACATTTTGTATTAAGGCACATCTCATTGTAAATTGCAAACACGAACCAGATTAACGGAAATGTAGCTCAATGTACGAAAACATTTCATTTGTATCTCAAATATAAAATGCGACTGTCCCCATCCCATTGTCTGCCTGTCGTCAATGACCAATCAAGCATGCCCACGTCCTTCCTGTAAGTCCGTCATCACTTAAAGTCATGTGACCATCACCCCAAACCCTCCACCCCCCAATGGCCAGATTCGAATTCCTGATGAATGTTAGACTATTTGTTTTTTTTTGTAAAATCATGTAGTTAAAAATAAAATAAATGAAAAAACGACTGAATTAAATCATGACGTTTCAGAGGCAACAGAAGCTTCCGTCTTCAGGTGGAACCGTCACAGAAAAATTACTGTATCAAGTAATACAGTTGTTTTTTTATTTATTTTAACTATGTGACTTTACCAAAAAAAACAAAGAGTATGAAACCTTGCAGTCACGAAAACTTCAAATCTAGAATTAATGCTAGACTAATTAGCATGCTCAGCTCAGGCAAGCAGGGTGGAAATATGAAAGACACTTATGTCAACATGAAAATATTAAACGTTTAGATATCAGTCCATAATCTGTGAACGTGTGGTGCAAGGCAAACCGTGTCAGGTGAGCGATACATTTTTTCAGTTTCTGGTGAGCAGTATCAGGCGAGTGGTGCAAGGCGAGTGAACTTGTCTGGTGTGGTGTCAGTTAAGTGGTGATTGGCAAGTGGTAAATGTGACGAGGGTGTGATGCACGAGTTGTACTCAGTAGTTTTTGTGGTCAGGTGAGTGGTGATTGGTCTCCTTGGTGGAGACTTAGCAGGTGAACGCCAGTCGTGAGTAAGATGAGTGTCGGGCAAGTGTCACGTCACCCCTTCAGGCCTATTACTAAACACAGATCGGAGTAGTGATGTGAGAAAGAATATATGAAAATGAATCAGGGTATTGATTACTGCAAAAAAATAAGTGTATATTTATCCATTATTTATTATGTACCTTGATGAGATGAAGAAGTTGAAGCTACTGCAGTCTTTTCTATTTTAGGAGCTGTGGAAGCAGCTGTTGGTTTCTCCACTTTGACTCCTGGTGTTCCAGCAACAGACTTATCTGGCCTGAATATTGTTTTTCCAACTTCGTGCTTTAACACCGTTTTACTCGCCTCTTGTTTGACAACCGTTTTACCCATCTCATGCTTGACAACTGGCTTAAAACCAGGTTTAGACGTTTCTAACTTGGTACCTGGTCTAGAAATGTCTTGCTTGATCAATGGCTTAGTAGCTTCTTGTTTGACAACAGACTTACCAATGTCATGCTTCACGAGTTGCTTAGCATTGTCCGACTTCACATTTAACTTGCCTTCTACCTTAAGAATCGGCTTAAATGTTGCTTGCTTCATACCCGGCTTTACAGTATGTTTAAGAGCATCTACTTTTGCTGCAGCTTTGGCCACCTCTACAGCCGAATGTTCCTGGGATCGTTCTGCTGATGCAGTCCTTGTGACTGAAGCCTGAGGATTTCCTTTTCCCTTATCTGTGGGAAGAGACTCTTTGGCTTGTTTGGAGTCCTTACTTGCTGCTGCTGCCGCCACTGATTTTTTTACAATCTTTCCAGCTTTGCTCTTCTGAAAAACAACATTCACCACATCACAAAATAGTAAATAAACTAAATAACTTATAATATCCGTAAATTAGAATGTGTGCATTAATACACCATTACGTTAACCCAAGAGTTGATTAAATAATGTATATTTTAACGATTGAAAAAAATGTGCAAATCTGTGCCAAAATTTACCTGTGTGGAACTCTTGTCATCTTTTGCGGACCTAAGTTTGGACTTGAGCATTTTTTCGTGCTTCGCCGGGCTCTGATCCCGGGACTTGTCGAGCAAACCTTTCTTTTTCTTCTTGTTTTTCTTATCTTTAACTTTCCCTCCTTTACCCTTGACAGCATTTTTGCCTTTTTTGTCCTTTTGTTTGGCACCATCCTCGCGCATGCTCTGCAGTGCCGCGGCGGCGTGCTTTAGGATGCATTCGTTGCTACAGTACACCGAGCCAGCTAGGGCATTGTTGGAACACTCGACAACAACACACTTCTGTGAGACTGATGCGGGTTCCGGCTCATTCGGTGCAGGCTGCGTCTCTTTTTCCGTGGGTTCCGAGACTTTTGCAGACCGTTCCGATTCCGTTGTTGCGGGTTCTGATTGTTTTTCTGCCGGTTCAGGATCCTTTGCAACAGGTTCTGGGTCTTTTTCAACAGGTTCTGGGTGCTTTGCAGCAGGTTCAGGATTCTTTGCAGCAGATTCTGGGCCCTTTGCAACAGGTTCTGGCGCCTTTGCAACAGGTTCAGGGAGCTTTGCAGCAGGTTCAGGATCATTTGCAACAGGTTCAGAGAGCTTTGCAGCAGGTTCAGGTTCATTTGTAACAGGTTCAGGGAGCTTTGCAGCAGGTTCTGGGAGCTTTGCAACAGGTTCAGGGAGCTTTGCAGCAGGTTCAGGATCTTTTGCAGCAGGTTCTGGCTCCTTTGCAGGCTTTAAGAGAGTGAAATAGACCACATTTCAATCAGATTGTCATAGTAAGCTGAACAAGCACCCCAAACAATTATCCCACCATTCGAGGTTCAACAAATTGTAATGAAAAATAACTGAATGCTAAGCATACAAAATAGGAAAATCAGCAGTGTAAACATATAATCTGCACACAATATGTTCAAATAAATAAAAGGCAGAGATGGTGATTTACACATTCCTTACCTCTTCTTGTTGTATCTTAATCCTTGGCCTTTTGGGATCCGAAGGTTCAGTTGCTTGCTCTAGTTTTCCCATATACTTTTTGGAGTCCAGAGAGTCCCCTTTTGATGCCGGTTTTGCACTTAGACCAGGACCTAGCATTAAACAAAAGGGTAGGCACAGAAGTAAAAGTAAACCCAGATATATGAAAGCTTGCTCTCTCAGGTGCTCTCCACGTGGCATTTGTAACAAGATAACATTTTGGTGAAATGCTTTACTCTTCTGTGAAACTAAAGTAGTATAAAATGCAAATTAACAACACGCATGTATACCTTTCGTATGTGGGTCTTCATCATCACTCTCCATAGGACAGCAGCGCGGACATAAATAAACCTTGTTGTCCTTTTCTAATTCAAGTGCCAGCTCCACCGTGATGCCCACACAGCTGCCGTGAATCCACTCCTCACACTGCTTGCACAACACTTGAACTCTGCACAATGGAAACAGAGGCATTTACATTTTCACGAAAGAACGCACGCCAAATTCAAAGTGCAGTACTGCAATGAAAAGCCGGCTGTAAATTATATGGTCACAAGTTAAATGCAACTAATGCTCTGGCAATATGCTTACCTGTCAAAATTATTTTTCCCACAGATGCACCCAGTTCTCTTCTGAAAGGCATAGTCGTGATCTAGCAGGTTCCCTGTACAGCCAAGGGACTGATTGTTGTCATCAGTGTTGGCGTCTTCAGCAGCAACCATTGCTACATCTTGCAAACCTTCATTTTCAGATTTATTTTGATGTTGCACATCATTAACTTTGTTATCAGCGACTGGTGTTGAATTTACTGATGTGACTTTGCTTGTTTCAACCACAGCTCCCAAACGGGCTTCCATTTGTTGCTGCTCCAATTTTTTCTTCCTTAACCTCTCTTGCAGTTCTTTGAGAGGAAGATCATCTTCACTACTTCCACACATGGGCTTCAAAGCAGAATCTTCCTCTTTCCTCAGAATAGCAGTCGGCAGAGGTGTTAACTCTATTTTGGCAATTTTATCTCGACACGCTCTGTTAATGGACATTTCAGAAAAGTAACTTGCCGCTTCTTTATTTTCAGACATCACAGTATCCTTATCACACTTGCTAGAGCCTTTACCATCACTACTCAAGTCAATTTTGTCTTTACTTTCCTTCACGGGCGAGCCAGCTGTTGACCTGCTCGACGTTGGCGAGCTGCTACCAGAGTTTGCAGGTGAACCAGACGATTTTTTACTCCGACTTTTTGGGGCGAGGAAGGCCTGCACATGCGGCGACCGCTTCGTAGACCGCCCACTGCGCCTGGGCATGATTTGTAAGGTAAAAGAGCTGCGTCCCCGTGTCATGGGCTTCTCCTCTTGTGAATCGCTCAGACTTTCGCCATCTCGCTGTGCCAGGGTGCTTCGTCTGAACCCCCAAGTCTTTCGCAATTCTTTTGCTTTCTTTTCATCCTCAGTGTTGTCTCCCTCTTCCTCCACACCCTCGTCGTTTTCTGTCACGACAAAATTACCACTTCAGCTATGCAATGCACGACACGTGTAACCTGAAAACAATTTATTACAAATTATTTGCGCTTCTTCATAATAGTGTCATGTTTATGATACAGAAGCTTAAAATTACCTTCGGGCTGGGAGGCAGTCTCTTGAAGTTCACTTTCTGATCCTCCGGAAGCATCTCCTCTCATAGACTCCAGCTCTGCAGGATCTTTTGAACCACCGACAGAACTGTCACTTTCAAGCTTATTTTCTGTACCGTCAGACGCTTGTGAGGTCACGTCCTCGGTAGCGCTCTTCTCTGCATTCGCAGAAACCTGGTCAGTGCTCGTCACTGACATTAATTTAGCATCAGATTTGTCAGTGTCTGCCATAATACTTGCATCTCAATGCTAAACAAAAACACAGAGGAGAAACACAACTCTTGATTTTGTCTACGGAAAAACCACCACGTGCTTAAAATACGCATCATTAACAGCTAGGATTCGCATCACACTTATGTATTATTTGCCCAAATTTAAATCTTTATACACAGTAACACAATAAATGCCACCAACCTGAACATGCGCAATTCATGCAAAGCAATTTATATTTGCGAAAATTGCTAGAATCACTATAAAATTGCTAACGGGAGGTCACGGTGTGGCTCAGATCAGAAACCAGCAAAGTGAACTCTCGTGATCGAATCTGGACAGTAAACATTGATGAAGCCGGTTTAAGATATAGAACGATTTGATTGATCGTCTCAGTCTGGTCTCCAATGACTGCACAAATTAAATCTAGAGTAAATATTTGCCTTTCCATGTGTTTGTCAGAATTAACTCGCGTGAAAAACAACTCAGCTGTGTGGAAACGTGCACCACATTATAATAAATAAAGAAATGGCCACTGTACAAGAGGTTTTGAGATGTTTTAAAATATCTTCCAAAGCCACTCGGGACACGGATTCGTATTGCTGAGATTATCGAGTGAATTATATCTAAATAATTAAAGGCGAAAGCACAGCGCGATAAAACAAGGATTACCAAAAACAACGACGCTTTCCATTACACATTACGTAAGAACTCCATTACAACGCATACTTTTCCAGACTCATGAGCCACACACATTTGACGAGCTACAGTTCATTGCAGTGAAAACATTAACTTATTATTCGACGCTGCCGCGAAGTTGGCCTATTAAGAACCCCAAATAAACATTGCAATTCTCAACACATCCGTTCCGTGGGACGATAAAAGTATACAATTGTTTAATCATCCGCTTTAGTCTATCCACTGCCTGATGAAGGCCTCCCCACACCGACACAATCCCTCACGATCCATTGCAACTTGCATCCATTTCATTCCACCGCATGTCCATTCAGTATCTCATCGCTCTATCTACGCGATGGTCGTCCTCTTGGACGAGTTTTCTCCATTGGCTACCATTCACAAATGTGTTTAAGTATGCATAAAATAATTATCGGATTCATCATTAAATGTGGTGACTTTTGTTCAAGTAAATTAGTTTTAACGATGCGTGTCATTGTTATATGATTGTGCCGCAGCGTGCAGTACAGTACAACATACTGTATGTACTCACTGAAAGAGTGTAATGTAAACAAACAGCATCGTAGTTAAACTTAGAAGCCGGCTAGGCATTTCATTTAAATAAATCAACACGCACCACCAACACAACTCGAGACGACGAGGTATAAACTAAGGCTTCACAGCCCAATGGACTTTACCTATCTACCCCGCTCCGCCATGCGGAGTTATCAAAGCCTTGCACGAACACTGGGAAAAGCGCCATCTTACTCCGCGTGGGAACCCCCATAACAAGCGGGCTTGTTAACCTCGTGGACCTACAAAGTTATTTACCCAAACACCACAATACGCAAGGAAATGTACGAATACAAACCATCGAAAGCAACGGACTTCGCTATAAAGAACACTAGGTCGGGGCCCCAATGACCATCGCCATTTCCACTACCGCACCACTTCACACGCTCATCTCTCTCTGCCACGAACGAGGCTGAATTACGGCCCAAAATCCCGACTCGAGCACTCAAAATGCCAGCTGAAACATACGAACAGAAAGGCGACAAAAGTGCAGCCACTGCACCGACCACAAAAGCTTCGTGCTCACCCACGCATCGTCCCAGGACGCTCACGACTGCCGGTGCTGCCCGCTGAGATGGAATACACCTCGTTAACGAGACCAGTCTCTCTCTCAGGTGAGAATGGTGGCAAAGACGCCTTGTGAAGGTGAACATTGAATTCGGAAACCCGACAAGACAGCCAGGCCGCTCCAACGGGAGACGCCCAGTAAGGGGAAATGAAGCCCCGATATTAAGAGTCGAGTGAGGGGGGGGGGGGAGAACCCCAAGGGGGTAAGACCCTGCAGAGCAGGATACCCCCCGAGGAAGTGAGGCACGGTTCGGATGCGCGGCGTGGGAGCCCCGGGCCACGGGGAGGACGACGCAAGGCCCAGGCCTCGCCTGAGCACACAACACGAGCAGCGCCTCCCGCGACGAGGGGGGTCAACCCGCGCGTAGAGGTTACGACACCGTACATCGCGAACGTAAACTATGCTCGGGAAACACGACGACGACGACGGGCGAAGTTTACCGCGGCGAAGTCGTCTTCTCGGGCGTTTCTTAGAAGGAGAGCGCCAGGCCCAGGCGGACGGGAATCAGCACGAACCGAGAGCCGCCATTTCGAGACAGTCACGTGACGCGGCAGAGGGGCGGGGTGCAGGGGGGGGAGGGGGCGGGGCATGAGGCGCCCGTGAAGGGAGGGGCCACCGGTGAGGGGAGGGCTCCGCTCATGATTGGAGGAGGTTGCCTATGAGGGGAGGGGCCACCGGTGAGGGGAGGGCTCCGCCCTTGAGGGGAGGAGGTCGCCTATGAGGGGAGGGGCCGTCATTGAGGGGAGGGGCCCCCATGAGGGGAGGGGTCCGCCCATGATGGGAGGCTGCAGAGTCCGATGGGCGGTGATTCCATTCTATTGAGTGGTAGTAGTGGTGTAGTAGTAGTGGTGTTGTAGTGGTGGTGTGGTAGTAGTAGTGGTGTTGTAGTGGTAGTAGTGGTGTTGTAGTTGTAGTGGTGTGGTAGTAGTGGTGTGGTAGTAGTAGTGGTGTTGTAATAGTAGTGGTGTCGTGGTAGATGTGTAGTAGTAGTGGTGTTGTAGTGGGGTTGTAGTGGTGGTGTGGTAGTAGTAGTGGTGTTGTAGTGGTAGTAGTGGTGTTGTAGTTGTAGTGGTGTGGTAGTAGTGGTGTGGTAGTAGTAGTGGTGTTGTAGTAGTAGTGGTCTCGTGGTAGTGGTGTAGTAGTAGTGGTGTTGTAGTGGTGGTGTGGTAGTAGTAGTGGTGTTGTAGTGGTAGTAGTGGTGTTGTAGTTGTAGTGGTGTGGTAGTAGTGGTGTGGTAGTAGTAGTGGTGTTGTAGTAGTAGTGGTGTTGTAGTAGTGGTGTAGTAGTGGTGTTGTAGTGGTGGTGTTGTAGTAGTAGTGGAGTTGTAGTGGTGTGGTAGTAGTGGTGTTGGTGTGGTAGTAGTGGTGTTGTAGTCGTAGTGGTGTTGTAGTGGTGTTGTAGTGGTGTGGTAGTGGTGTAGTAGTAGTGGTGTTGTAGTAGTAGTGGAGTTGTAGTGGTGTGGTAGTAGTGGTGTTGGTGTGGTAGTAGTGGTGTTGTAGTCGTAGTGGTGTTGTAGTGGTGTGATAGTGGTGTACTAGTAGTGGTGTTTGTGTGGTAGTGTTGTAGTGGCGTGGTAGTAGTGGTGGTGTCGTAGTAGTGGAGTAGTAGTGGTAGTAGTGGTGTAGTAGTAGTGGTGTAGTAGTAGTAGTGGTGTTGTAGTAGTGTAGTAGTGGTGTGGTAGTGTTGTAGTAGTAGTGGGGTTGTAGTGGTAGTAGTGGTGTAGTAGTAGTAGTGGTGTTGTAGTAGTGTTGTAGTAGTAGTAGTGGTGTTGTCGTAGTAGTGGTGTTGTAGTAGTGTTGTAGTAGTAGTGTAGTAGTAGTGGTGTTGTCGTAGTAGTGGTGTTGTCGTAGTAGTGGTGTTGTAGTTGTAGTGGTGTAGTAGTGGTGTAGTAGTGGTGTGGTAGTGTTGTAGTAGTAGTGTCGTAGTAGTGGTGTTGTAGTGGTGTTGTAGTAGTAGTGGTGTTGTAGTAGTGTCGTAGTAGTGGTGTTGTAGTGGTAGTGGTGTAGTAGTAGTGGTGTTGTAGTAGTAGCGTTGTTGTAGTAGTAGTGTAGTAGTAGTGGTGTTGTAGTGGTAGTAGTGGTGTTGTAGTGGTAGTGGTGTAGTAGTGGTGTAGTAGTGGTGTGGTAGTGTTGTAGTAGTGGTGTTGTAGTGGTAGTGGTGTTGTCGTAGTAGTGGTGTTGTAGTGGTAGTGGTGTAGTAGCTGGCCACCACGAGAGGGCCTTAACAGGGGAGAGGGAGACTTCACGAGGCGTTGATGTTCCTCCGTTGAAGCAGCCCAGACTGGCAGCGCTTCGTTACTTCATCCATCGTTTGAATCGCATTGCTACAACCGCACTCGAGTGCTAATTTATATCTAGAAATGTGTTCATTTTTTTCATTTTTCATTTAATTGGTATAGCCCTGTGAGCCATTCGGCTCTTGAATCGGGTGCAACCGCAACAAACAAAAACATGAACAAGAAAACATCTTAAAGTGACTATATGACTAAGTGCAAACATAAAATCCAGGAAAAGACAGCAAAATATTGCAGAAAAAGCATCGTACACCAACGCTGTGTGCAAAAATCCCAGTGGGATGCAAGTCAAACAACAACAACAACCACAAGACAACTTAGACTAAGACCATCAGTCTTACTTCGTACTACAACAAACAAACATGGCCAAACCAAAAAACTTTTCGAAATCACCAAAATAAAGCCATGAAAGCAATGAAACAGTGATCATAGGAACTGTGACGGAATTTTCACAATAAATTACATAACAACATGTAATAACCAAAACCCTGCAGCCATAGCTGGCTGATGATTTCGTATGGCCAATGAACATCCACATCAGTAATACCCTGAATTACGTCTCCCACTTACATCTCCTTTGTGTGGGGTATTAAGAGTTTTACCAAATCATCAGGTGGTGCTGCAGCGTTGGCAGGAACGCGCACGCAAAACTAGCAATTACCTGCGAAACGTCGTACTCTGATTGTAAATGTTGTGGCTTGGCTCTCCAACACACAACCCGTGTGCTTTAAACTATTGTCGGATATCACGTGTCACTGGTCATAGCCGTCACTGGGAATCGAACTCAAGTTAGGGGCCGTCCATAAATGACGTCACGCGATTTTGGACGATTTTTGACCCCCCCCCCTCGTCACACGGCGTCACAAAAAGTCAGACACCCCCCCCTCAAATATGACGTCACAAAGCTCTGCCCCCCCCCCCCAAAACCATATTTCCATTTTTAAAATAAAACATGCTTCACATCGCTTTAAACTATTGTCATTGTAGGGCGTATTTAATGCGGCGCTGCACTCTGATGTTGTAGGAGAAAACGTGTATTAAAAAGTCTATTTCATTAAGTAGAACGTGTTGTCTATATTTAAAGTTGCGCATTTTGATTTGACGTCACATTTCTCAAACCCCCCTCCCCCCCTCGTCATATATCGTCACAAATGTCTGACCCCCCCCCCCCCCCTAGGTGCGTGACGTCATTTATGGACGGCCCCTAAGCAGAAATGTAGATACCACTGACTTATGTGTGTATGGGGGGGGGGGTCTACTGACAATGCACACATAGGAAACGGGGGTGGGGGGTGAAGCCTCGATAATAATTTGTCTACATTGGCCTTCAAATGAGTCAGATAGTCCGGCGGTGGACTATCTGTTTGCTTAAACACGTTAATATTATTAATCCTTGATCGTTTCTTCGTGGATTAAATATCGGCCGTTCTATAGGATTGGGGGGGGGGTCAAGTTTTGACAGATTTTTGCGTTCCTACTAAATGGATGGCTCCATACTACTGACTTGTTTGTAGGGTGTGTATGTCTATATGCCTACAAAATACATTTATTTTTTGGGGGGGTCGACAATTTGTTGTAAACCTATTGGATCAACTTGTTACCCCCACATCTGTGGGGGGGTGGGGGGTCCACTTTCGATAACTTTTTGATTCAGGGCGCCTAATTTAGTTGACGGATAAACGTTAGGAACGCCAGGCTTTTTATAATAAATTTATTTTGTGAGTTTTGTGGAAAAAAGTTTTCACAGTAGGAGGCGATATTGCTATGTGTAATTTGCAGATACTGTGTATATATTTTTTTATTTTTCAAATTTGCATCGGGATGTTTGACCATTAGTAGTACTCGTTGCTATAGGAGGTCAACCGAAGGAGCCAAAGGATACCCAAACAGAACAGGACATGCATATTGCACACAGAAATGCGGGAATCGAGCCCAGGCCCTTCTTGCTGTGATGTGTCTTGCCCATGCCAACTTATTGTGCTTGTTCACTCATCCATGCGTTGGTCTCCGTGTCCGAGTGTAAAATAATAGGCATTGGTTGATTCAGCCTGGGAAATAGCAAATATCTTCATTCTGCAGTTGATAGATCATGACTGATGGCGATGAATATGTACAGCAGTGCTTACCAACTCCAGTTCTCAACCCACCACGGTGGCGAGATGTTAACTACCTCGCCTGGTATACAGGAGGTCGTGGGTCCGATCCTGACCCTTTCGCCTGTGTATTTGGAGTTTGCGTGTCTCTCTCCCAGTGGTGGCGTGGATTTTTCTCTGGGTCCTCCGTGTTTTTCCTTCCACATTCAGAGTATTTGGCCAATTCGTTGAGCTATCGTTTGTGGCTAGGTCGCTTCTGAAAAAGAGCTACAATGTGCAACTCAGTGGGCCTTGCCCTGTGAATTCAAAAGTTTTAGTTTCGTTATAATTGGGTTTTTTTACCCTTTTATCTGGCAACAAAACTGACACCTTTTTTACAAGGAGTCATGTTTGCATTGACCACAATAGCTGCAGTCGGAATGCAAAAAAACACAACTCTGATAATGTATGCACTGTCCTTGAAATTGATTGGTCCACACCCGAGACAGCTTTCCTTAGAGCCTAGTCTCACATGGTGTTGGACCAGATGACGCCAAAAGGCGCACAACTCAAAGACAATGCACCATCAGAGTATGAGAGCTCGGGGTAAGCATTTACACCATTGGAACCTCATTTACCAGTAGAAAAATATGATAATTGGTTTTTTTACCCTTTTATCTGGCAACAAAACTAACGAAAAAAAGGTGTCAGTTTTGTTGCCAGGTAAAAGGGTAAAAAAAACAATTATCATATTTTGCTAATGGCAAATGAGGTTCCAATGGCGTTTTAGTTTCGTTAAATATTTTCGTGATCACCAGCCCTGCAGTTGCGTTTTCTTGCCTCAATGAATCACACGTGGGATTGAGTCCCTCCCTTGTTAGTGGCATAAAGTCGGGGGCACAGCTTTACAGCGTATGGCTCTGCCCAAGAAATGGGAGGACAGCTTCCCCTGAGAGTTTATGGTTTCCAGGATAAATGGAGGGTTCGGTTTGGCGGGCAAGTTGGCAATATTGAAAAAGCCTGCGAATGTGTACTCAACTCTGCCCATAGTACATGAGCCCATGTCTGATATTTCACTGATCGGTATCACTCGAGGTGGCATAACTATACTGGTGCCAAGTTTTTCGCGTGGCTAATAAGTCAATAATGTGATAGCTGCTTGAAATTAATGGGGTTATGAAATAATCTAATTTTATCATACATATAAATACATCGCTACTGCTAAGGTTTTGCTACCTAAGGTGGTACTGTACCAATTTCTGTGGACTATATACTTTCGAGAATTAAACAAAATAAACAAGACACCGAGACAATTGCTCAATTCAACTTGGGCTATCTTGAAGGCGATGTTTGGATTTCGAACATTTCAGTAATGCGGTAATCAAGGAATAAATATAAAGTTCCAGTAATTGTAATGATTGCAAACTGAAGAAAACATGCGATGTTTGTAAACTAGGAATTGGGAGCATGTGGCGTTACTGTGGAGATGAGACTGTGTGAGAGATGACTCAGAAAGCGGGCATCGCTTCGTGGGACAAACACTCCAAATATACATTTAATTGCAGCGTTACTGCCAAATGTAAATACGCTCAGTTACGGGTGACATTTAATTAGCATGTGTGCATTTATTCAAATGCATTACTAAATAATACAAGTGCACAGAATGCAATTGTAGATTATTGTATTAAAATGTAACTGAGGGCGGATTGAAAGTGGTAAGCACTCAACGAGTATGAGTCAGTCTGTCGCTCAAAGTATGTTAAGAGTGTTTGACAATGTCTGCGGCACGGTTGTATGCTCTCTAATCGCGTTTCTAACCATCTTAAATGTTATTGGTACTACATTTGGTTTGTCGCAATAGGTAGTTGTTTTATGATTCAGTAGTTTAAAATGTTAACCGAGGGATAATCATTTAAAATTACCAATTTAAAATGGGCCAGCAGTGAATGAGATCGCCTATAAAGGAACATAGTTTAATGGTAAACGGTATTTATGAAAGTACATGGATCTATAGTCTTGGTTCTTTCGGTAAAATCACGTAGAAGGGAAATAATAAAATAATCTAAATATAAAAAAAATTTTAATCACGTTTCGACTGCAACACAAGCAATCATCATCAGGTGTGAAATCCACAGCAAGAAAATTTGATGATGATTGCTTGTGTTGCAGTCGAAACGTCGTGAAAATTTTTGTTTTACATTTATATTATTTTATTATTTCCCTTCTACGTGACTTTACCGAAAGAACCAAGAATATGAATCCCTGCAGTCACGAAAGCTTTAAATCAAAATTTAGTACATGGATCTATTAAGACGCAGCACATTTACCAGTTGTGAAGCCATTGTTGCTGTTCAGCACCAATCTCTGCTAAAGGAAACGGTACAATTGACAACAAGCAGGAGGACTGTGCCCCATTCGCTGCACACACAAATACGTTTGGCCTCATTATTAAGTTCAACTGCTTTTATTGTTAGCAAGCCAAACCTCAGTTACTGCAGGACAGGCGCACGTTGTGGTGACAAACCTTGGGCGATTTAAATTCTGCAAAATCTTATCACGTACACTTCACATTCTTAGTACAATACGAGTAAAAACAATATTAAAAATCATCCGGAAATAAAATTAAGACGGTCGAAGCGCATATCTGCATGGCGTCGGTGTGGTTGCAATGCGGTCTCCTTGGCTTTGCTCTAATGTGCAAATATCCACTTGGCATCAGCAAAACGAACACAACAGAGCCCTGTTTGATCCACCCCAACTCCACAACAGTGATGGGAAGCCAGAAATGAGGGCATGGTGCTTTGTCTGCCCTTGGTAGTCATAACACGATGAGTGCGCTTGGCCGCTCATGTGAACCAACATGAACACGCATGGCGATCGGAACAAACCAAACGGCTGGGCTTATACTGGTAGAAACCTCCTGGTTACACCAGCCCACAAGGGATTATTGTGTCCGTCCGTCGTGCAGGGAATGGCTGGGTGAGGGTGGGGCTGGGTGGAGAGGGGCTGGTCACCCCGTGGTGCCCTTATAAAACTCAACGTTTAACCTACTCACGCCGGCTTGTGCCCGCCCTCACAGTCGGGCATATTTGCGGAATACACCACGCCGCCGTTGACCCTGCAGGCCATTGACCGAGCAACCCAACGTTCCTACCAGCTCCCTCCGCAGGAATGTTGTTATGTGTGGCGGGTTAGAAAATTAGGAATGTTCTGAAAAACTCGGGATAACCCACATTAAATTTCAGTAGAAAACACATTATTTCATTGAATCGCCTGACGATCCATTTTTGATAGATTTGATTGTGTCACTTACCCGAAAGATGGCCGCACAAATAACCCCAATAATTTACTTACTTCGACCACCTAATTCACTGTCAACTAAAATCCTACTACTTTCTGGACAAAACGCTTTGTGGGTTATTGTGTTTTTCCAGAACACCCCCATCAAATTGACGAGGCAACAGCACTACTTGCTCAAGTTATAACTGCGCAAATGTAGGAATACGATTGCAGGTCTGGGACCAAAGCTTTGTGGGTGCATGAGCAGTCTTGTAAGAGATGAAGTGGATCAACACATTCGACTCACTGTGACATCATTAAGTCACGCTCTGGGTGTTTAAAGTGTCCCGTAGAAGCTGGCCATTAGTGGTACAACAAGTGATGCTCTTTCGCAAAGTGATAACAGTCAGTGAACAAAATACTTGTGAAAAACACATTTATACAGATTAAGGCAATGTCTTTTCTGTATATTCCGAAAAATAAGGCTTCACAAAGTTTGGAAGCAAATACCTCCACTTGCTACCTTGCTACAAAACACAAAGTCGAATATAAACCAACAGCTGCAGGTTTTGTGCTGTGCTCATTCTACAACTGATTTCCTTGTGATCCACAACAATTAAGTGTATATCCCTGTCCATCACAATTATACTTTCTGTCTATACAATGGTCTTTCTTGGTCTTAAAATGATAACACAATGAATAACCCTTTTTGCAAATAAAAAAACAAGATTTCACTAAAAACTACACATTAGGTAAGTGCTTTTAAGCTGGAGTCGTTGGTAAACAGATGATTATAATCACCATATCAGGCACGGTGGATAAAAAAAAACCTCATCAGTTTGGTGTGAACATCACACCAACACATTACCAGTTGCTTTAGGCAGGCTACAAGGGTTACATGGCAATACACGAAGCAGTTAGTCCTAGGGCAGGCTTTCTTATTCTATAGCCACAAGATAATGCGCACATTGTTAACAAAACTAATTTAGAGAAAGCCACTTTTTATCTGTGCATATAAAAACGAAATAACTGCGGACTCAAGAGGTAGCAACGCCAAAATTGTCAGCAGTATATTTAAGTTGCATTGGACTTAAAATCTAAGCAAATTTAAACATAGTTATGCAAACACTTCAGCACACGTTTACCTTTGCACATTTGCCTTTTGCTCATATTATCCTGAAGCAACGACGATAAGGACCATGTTCTTGACTTCAAAAGGTGGCAACATTGTGCCAGTGTAAGTTTGTGAGAATGCCAGGAAGTCAAGCGTTTAGGAGTTGCTATGTCACGGTGCGCGCAGATGACGCACACAGTCACTGAGGGCATTTACATTATTCAGGACATGTCTGAGTAAACGGCTAGCCGTGAGACGTGCCACCAATTTGTTGAAATAAACCGCCTCACTACAACGCTTCATTCTGACAGTGCTCATAAAGATTTGAAGTGCATTTTCCTCCAAGTTAGTAACTCTGAAATGTGTATCCTCATTGTGAAATGTCCTCAAAATGTGAGTGTTTAAATGCCCCGCTTTAAAGTGTAAGAAATTTATCGTGGAGTTCATGAAAATGTAAATCAAACCAGAGCAGCTTGAATCTTCCCAGATAAGTGTAATTTGACGAATTTCCACACTGCAGAAGGCTGCATTTCATACCAATGTTGCAGCTTGGGAACAGACATAAACAATCACTTTTGTCATCAATGCAGTGTCAGCTTTTTGTGTTGATGATCAGTACAGGACGTGAGCACCGACTTATTAGGAAAATGTTAGATTTACAAATTAACTGCTATTTCCTTCCCTTCCAATTTTGACATACCAAGTCGAGGGCTTAAGTCAACGGCTCATGTACAGGGTGCGGGAAAGTTGGAATCCCCCAAGCGTGTCGGCCTTGCCCAATAAATGGGCCTGGGGTATCGCTGTGTTACACTCGCTTGGGCTTGCGCTGCCGCGTGCTGTTGCCGTTCTCGTGAAGCTCCCCAGTGCTCCGTGGCTCCATCTTGCCGTTCGCGTGGCTCTCCAGCTTCGGGCGCGAGCCCTGCTTGATGTACGTCTGTGGAGCAAACACCAAGCATTCTTAGTATCGTTCTTTTTACGACTGTTTACCCAGAAGAATCCTCGCGAAGTCTCGTCACTCTTTTTCAGGAAGATCCAGCCAAGTTTAGACAGTAGGGGGAAAACGATTGCTGTGCATATGCCAACTAAGTAAAAAAAAATTTGACCGTGACGCCGGCACATATTTACCTAGACTTGCAAAGGGCGTCACAGGATCTTTAATGTCCACTGTGAAGGGAACTTAACGTATTTTAAGTTTGGACACCCGTAATATTAACCAGGGTGGAACCACGGGACTTGAACCGTGAGCAAAGTGTGGTAGACGTGCTTCCACTCTACAACGTAAACCGCCCAAAGTGCTGCAGCGAGCAACGGCGTGCTCGGGTATTATCTGTAGAAGTCATACATCCGTTGTATTATAAATCAAGTCATTATTTATGAATGGTGAACGCTGATTCTATTATATTGATTGTACAATGTGTTTTCTCAACGAGGAACATTTTGTGCGAACATCTTAGGAGCCAAGCTCCTCTCTCCTTTCATGGCCGTGCAACAACATATACTTGGCATTCCCTCCCATAGTCTCTTCTTCCCAATGTTCTCAATTCTATAAGTGTGTTAATTAGCTATCGCGACTTTGACCGTACTGTTTGTAGCTGGCCGCTTGACATTTTTGTCCTTTGGGTCTATGCTTTTGAATAGTGTGTTAAAAAAATATACGTACATCTTCCAAAAGCCAACCAATAAATTATCAGTAATTCAATGACAGGCATTCAAGAGAATGTAATTTACTGGGAGAGGGTTTGGACTGTTACATTAGGGTGGGTTTGAGCACAGCTACTACATGTTTCCCATTTATCTTGTTATTGTTGTTATTGTTCAATACGATGATCGTTCCCCGAGCCCAAACCATGAGTACAAATTACCTGGATGTAAAAGTTGGAGAAGAGAAGCACCAGTGACATCATATAGGAGATCTGGAACCACAGCCAGCCAACTGGAAACCCACACGGCATCACGATGGCACTCCCCGACTGCACCATTGTCATCACGAACTGTGTCTAAACGGGACCAGGAGCAACACAAAACAGACATTTATACAAATCAAGTGTGTATCATCTGAAATTAAGAATAAAAAAATTCAAGTTAATTGCAGGTCTAGCCCTGCTAATTCCACTGCTGACAGAAAGGCCTCCACTAAAGGGAGCTCTAGAGAGACCCTCTGCAGGATATTTGGTCCACTCTGCAACCCTGGCCACATGTCTTGGAAGAGCTGGGAGAACCCATACATTGCCCCACCATGAGCAACATACCGATCGACTAACTGTGGTGCCGTCCCCTTTTATACCGCCGGGTGGACAGAGGCGGGCAGGATTTCAGAAACTTGCACTATTGACACTATGAGACCTCCTTTACCAGTGGCAAAATATAGTAATAGGTTTTTACCCTTTCAACTGGTACAAAAACTGCGCTGTCTTTGAGTAGTACGCCTTTTGGCATCATCTGGTCCAACACCATGTGAGTCTAGGTTCTAAGAAAAGCTGTCTCGGGTGTGGACCAATCAACTTCAAGGACAGTGCATATCATTATCATCATCAGAGTTGTTTCTTTTTGTTTGCATTTTGACTGCTTGTGTTGTGGTTATTGCAAACATGATGCCTTGTATAAAGGTGTCAGTTTTTGTACCAGTTGAAAGGGTAAAAACCTATTACAATTGCACTATTGATTTAACTTCTATGCCAGGAAATCAAACTAGTGACCTCTGGATTGCAAGTCGAACGTCCTAATAATTACACCATGGCAAAAACAGGGTAACATCATTTAAATACAGGTTTTCTTTATTAAATGCTTAAACACCCATGATATTTGGCATACACATGAATTCGCTTATGTAATGTAATTCTATGCTGCGGATGCATTTACAGTACACATAGCAGCATTGATCATTTATTATCCAATCATCCGTGCAGCAGAGGGCTTCGGATCACTGGACAGGATAATAAATTGTTTACATAATCAAAATGAACTACATGTGCATGCAATATTCACGCTGAGGTTTAACAGTATGTAATAGAACAATTAATGATTCATAGTTACTTTTTGGGTTTGGCCACGTCAAAAATATTACCAAATTTTAGTCATTAAGACCCTCCCACCACTCAACATACCCAACAAATGAAAATGTCACGTGTACAAGTGACACACATTTTGGCAAGAGCAATATGTGACCTCACCCAAAAGTCCCACTCCAATAACCTGTGTTTTATATTTACAAAAACGAATGTCAAAGCAAACAGCACGTTAAGGCAGTTTAGTTAGGCGGGTCTACACACATACCAGCTGCGCCTGGGTAATGTAGCGCTTCCACCAGAGGTAGGGCCGCATGGCAGGGAATGACAGAGAGTCCGTAGTATCCGTACATCAGCACGTGGATGAAACAGTTGAACGTTGCCCCAAAGTACGCTGCAATGCACACCAATGCACGGCATGGTTTTTTGAAACATCAAAATACCTTTGCGAAAAATTGTGCAGGGTTACCGTCCTCTCTTTGGGAAGGAATGTGGTCACCATTAGTACAGTTTAATTCAATATACAACATTATTTGGATGTAGCGGTTAGATGTGACGCATCTCAAGATACGGTACAGAAACAGTGGGCATATTTATTTTATAGGAAGAAAGTGGCAGCCATTTATAGGCAGAAGAAAAAAAGGAAGTTGTTGAGCCTCCACTTGAGCAGGGGTAGAGTCGACAGCATGGATGGCTTGGGGAAGGAAGTTCTCCATACTATGGGGGCAGCAGAGGAGAATACGGGATCTTCCACTGACACGTTATCTGAGGCTCTGACAGAAAAAGCCTTGGTTGCCCGAGTACAGAGAGCATAGACAGGAGTAGAGTGAGATGAGTTGAGTGGGGAGAGGTAGGAGAGTGCGTGGAGGGGAGTAGAGTGAGATGAGAGGGGAGAGTTTGGCAGGGGGCGAGTCAATACAATTCTATATTTTCACAAGCAATTTGAAAATGAGAAAACTGATGTGAATTTCACATTGCAAACAGAAGTGGAATTTAAAGGTCATGAGCTCAAAAACCTCGCTCAGTTAAGTGCTCCGTGGCAGGCATTCGTAGCTTACAGTGTCCGCAGGGCACCCAGTTGAGGACAAACCACCAGATGGTGGGCATGGAGGCATGGTGGTAGACATGCAGCACTGTGACCTGGGTGTTCTTCTTGCGCACAATGAAGAACACCGTGTCCAGGAACTCAATGAGCTTGGAGAGGTAGTAGATCCAGAGTACACGGGCAATCTGTGCAGTGAGAAACAAAAAATCAATCGAATGTATTTTAATGTCACAGTACACAACCCCCTCCAATGGTAAAACTTTCAAATAGTGCTCGTGTTGTAAATAACTTGAGTGTTTATGACAATGCTATAAACTGTAACGAGGATACACCAACTGGAAAACCCAGCCAACTTGCATAGTTGGCTGGGTTTGCCTGCAAAACAGTTACTTTTAATACTCCTGGTTTAACCGATAGGGACCTGTACATCAATATTCACAGCTCACATAGTTCAACTCCCATTATCTATTCAGATATCTATTTGTCGAGAAAATATGATGTTGGGAAAATGGCCAAGCGGTAGAAAAAGCAGGACGCTGCATGACAATTGAAAGGCGGAGGGAGAGGGTTGCACATAACAGCATGACGAAGAAAAAATATTTAAAAAATTTAACAGGAAGGAAAGAGTCTGAGCCAAGGACCCACAAGTGCGCAGAAAGACTAAAAAGAGTGAGAAAAAGAAATGGGATAGATGAGTATGTACACTGGACACCCATCAATGACTTCCCACAAACCGACACTGCTGTTGGGTACAACCCAAACACCAGCAGGTGAATCAACTTGTTCTGTACACACGTTTCTATTGTTGGTGGATGTGTTCACAAGAAGAAAATAAATAAAAAATGTCAGCAGCCGTACCCTCATGTCAGCTTCCCCCGCACTGTGCGTGTTCTGGCAGCGCAGGTTGTAGCCCCCTGTCCACACGCCGGCCACGAGCTGCGAGGCACCAACAAGCAACTACTTGTGAGCAACCACGATCATGGAACTTGCAAGCTGCATTCCAGCGATGCGAGGCAGCACCACAGCTTCACTGCAAGTGCAGGCCCACCTATTGTTTTGAAGCCCGCTAATTAGAAGCATTTGCAAGAGTAGGTATGGAAGTTCAGGACAAAGTGCTTTAGGTTTCTTTGAACAAGGAACGGCTTGATTGCCAGTTGAGAAAACTCCCCCTTTTCACGCCAAGGTGAAATGAATGTATAGTTTTTTTACATCTATGACCAAATCATGTGGAATGCGCCAAATTCCGTCAAACCTTGGATATTAAGCAGGATTGAGCTTAGATGGTGCTTGGAAGAGTGCTCAGTATGCTTACAACAGGTGCTATAGGCTGCTGTGTGACTACGTGCCTCTAAAGGACGTCAGCAACTCACCACACACATTTTGTGGGCATTCTAAATCGAACTTTGTTATTATTCCATATTACGTTGTGGCAACAGAGGGCAGTGCAGCAAAAATCCTTTGTTGTACTGTACTTCTATCCTCCCATATTTATGCTCCTCATTTTTACCAACCCACACTGGCCGGCGTGGTGAAGTATGGTCAAATAACACACAATCTGCAAGGCGTTGGAGGTTCAAATCCTGCAGGGCTTTTACAAAAGGCTGTACATGTCCATTTTTTTGCACTCAAAAATGGTTAATATGTCATTCGATGATAGGATTCAGGCAATGAAAGAACAAGATGTAATATTTTTCATGGTATGATAAACACATTTCATTGCGTCTTTAAAATCAACATTTTAAAGTACTGTACCGTTTTACAAAATTATTCAAACATGGAGGACATTAAGGAATTCCATTGAATTTTTACAATTTTCTAAGGCATTTACAAGAAAAAAAAATCCCATGCACTTATGGGCACTTTGAGGCAGGAATGCATTTCGGCTACATTAAGATGTTGGTGGAGAAAAATATATGAATATACAGTCCACAGAGAGTATTCACTCATTCATTTGGCACCAATGATGTGCTCCATGCCATTAGCCTGACTCCATGCAGACACAATGTAGCCAGAACCCCCCCTGGGTTGCTGGTCGACTGCTACAGCCAAAATCTGTCAGGTTAGAGACCCACAAGGCACACACATGCCGTGCACGTATTGTACCTTCAAACCTAATCCCGCCAGGTGCTAAATGTTCTCTGAAAGCGTTGATTAAACGGACAATAAAATACAACAGTTTACAAAAAAGATTAATTAATGTATGACAGAGTGACCTTTCCTAGGAATTTCATTAAAGCCGTTAATGCGATTTATTAAAATCGTAGTGCATTTAAAAGCGTTGGTAATCTACGATATTTATTAATATTTTGGTTTCATATCGCGACACAAATGGAGTTATTGTAGTATGTGCCTCACTGGGCAGCACGTGCAATACATTTCATTATCTGCACTCCACGTGTGATGCACACAAAAAAACTAAACTCCGAACAGTGTTTTCCTGGAACACATCACACCACTCATGACCTGTAGACGTGGTGGTGCCTAATTTTCAGCCAACGGTGCAATGACCTACGATTAATGATTCACTACATTGGGTGACGGACATACGATATTGCCATGCGAATCCGAGATACAGCATGGGACATGACACGTGAGGATATGTTCACTCAACTTGACACAGAGTGACCCAAATCGGAGGACTTTGCTCTTAGCGTCAATGTCACCAAGATAGCCACTATGTGAAAGGGCAGACTTGACTTTCAATGAATTGGACAGGGTATATTAATTGTGGGACCAAGGTTGAAAGACATGCCATCGCCACGCAGCGCCGTACTTTGTATCAATCAGACCACAGAAGAGAAGCCAATCGTAAACGAGTTGTTAACAGAGGCTCGAGGTGACAGCAACCTTTGCTGTGGCATCAAGTCGGGCTCATGACATGTCAATTATTTATCAACTGGCTATTTATTTATTGAAACCGACGGTTGCTCAATTCATTTTAAAAAAACGTGTATGCTTTGCTCAAGATAGCAGATGGATGATATATGTGATGTCATACAAAGGCTGATTTAAAATTTTGTCTGAAACTTTCTGTGTGGGAGTTAATCCTAATGCATTTGAGCAGAAGAAAAAGAAACAGCTTAACCTTTAGCTATATTCTCTTCCTCCTTTGACAGAAACATCCACAGGGTTTTTAAAGGTCACGCAGTCATCAACGGCAATACAACTTTTAATTTTAACGAGTTTGGTTTTCTCTCGAAGTACATAACATTAAATTATTTCAGTGATAAGCCTTTTTAATTGTTTTACAACTGATACAATGACAACATAAACCGGTATTTTTCATCATAATTCAAGAGTATTTATGTTACCATCATAACACAGTCATCCTCTTTTTAAAGACACCTGGCATGCAATCACCTGATATGTTAAAATTGACAATATTAAAACGTGACGTTTTTGGATGGACCTTCAGAGCGAGACAGACCTCATAGAACATGTAGAAGGAGAGGCCAGTGAGCAGCGCATTGTAGACGACCAGCAGCCCCTTAAGCGACAACGGCTGGCGCTCACGCATCAGCTTGGGCCCAATCGCCACCACCAGCAAGTACACCAGCGTGGACACCAGCGTGGGCAGGTATGAATCCAGCAGCAGCCACCCACGGATGCGCGGGTCTGTTTCCCGCATACGGGGGGTTATTAGCAGGAGAAGGAGTAGTCCCCCTCATGACACAAGTTTGGTTCCAGTTAAGGTTGCCGCAATATGGCGATGGAGCGCTACGATATGTCGTACGACATGAAGTGCACGCAAATCGTACATCGTCCCTTTGGCACGATATTGTCATATCGTGATTATTGTTGTTAATTTTTTGAAACATAGATTTTAAATCCTGACTAAATATCTGTGAAATAACAACCATTAATATTGACAAGAATTCAAGTAAAACAGGTAGCTGTCTCCCATGAAATTAGTGCTTTGTAAAAGTTTTTTGGATAAAGGACAGTATGGTGGTGATATGACGTCACCGTTTTCTGATAGCATTGTAAGTGTTAGAGATTGTAAAGCGGCAATGATAAGAAGCCCGGAGCCAGGCATGTATTGAGTAAAAGGGAATTGAAAATCTTTTAATCTGTATTTGCATTGGAAGCACTGCCAAGCACAAACTCAATACAATAAAAATGGAAAATACAATTTTAAAGTTATGGAAAGGTGATATCACAGCAATCGTCGTATTGTGAAATTTAATATCGGATTTAATGTCGTGATATAGAAGGCAGTGTGCTTGTGTGGGGGGTTATTGGCACATGCCTGGAAGTTTATTGGCTTTGATGACGATGCTAATGGAATAAATCATATTAATACATTTATTTTCATAACTTTATGAAATAAGTGGATGGATTGGTTCTCTTTGGGATAATGAACGTGTAGGTATGTTCAGTGGAAATTTAGAGACCTAATCCCCAGGGCACCCTGTTGAGAAGATTATAAAGGCAAGCGCAGAGCAATTCAAAGTTGGAAAATTATGTAAAGGTCCTTCAGAAACCAAACACAATTCGCGGTAATGGATTGGGGCAATGGTTTTGACACGCTGATGAACCCAGCGTTTTTTAGCATGCTGCTGGAGACGGCAACGAATTAAAAGCCTCACCAGCGTGGTCCGATTTTGTCGTCCAACATCTTTGTCAGTGCTGTGTCCAGTGCCTCCATTGTTCCTTCAGCCTACAACACACAACACATTCAGTGAGCATAAGCACAGCACTGTAGATTTGGCACACTCCTTGCACACCCATCGAGTACGATGTCATGGCCAGAACACAGACAAACTTCGTTACTTGTCAGTGGCTCATCTATATGTTGTCATCCATTAAAGCAATGTTGTCCCATGACTGATATATTTCTAGATGCACTATGTTAAGCTAGGAGCTGTCAAGTGGGTAATCAAGAGACTGATAATACATTTACCTAATTTTAATCATAGTACAGTGATCCATCTTCGCCAAACATTCAGCTCTGTTATTGTTTTGATATCTACAAGGTAAAAATTTAATGTAGTAAATGCCATTTTTATAAAGGAATTCTGTGATCGTTTGCCCTTTGGCCTACAGTACTGTACACAAAACTATTGGCCAGCCCAACATTGGAGTAGACTTGATTCAAGAACGTTGTCCTGATTTTGCTAACGGTAATATCATGAGACAAAAAGTAGCCAATCGGAACTGTGGAAGAGCTGTGAAAGAGCAGTGCAACCATTCGTGTCGTTTTAATAATGGTCCATCGAAGCGAAAAATTGACAACTACTTCTGAAATGCCTTCAAATGACCTCTGCCCCACATATTTGGGGACAACCCTTCCCCACCCATTCTGCCACTGACCAATCGGAGGCACGTGCGTTGTTACTTCAAAAAAGACATACATGTCCATGCTCGCAAAACTGTTTTGTACAGGCCAACCACTCATAAAAACCAACTTTGCTTAACGTTGTGCTGATGAAGTTGAGTCATGCCATGTTCGCTCTAACATGCAGGGTGTGCTTGTCTTGGCCGCATATGTTGTAGGAAAGTTGTCAATGTGTATCAGATGACTGCAGCCGCCACCACTCACTCTTGTGAAAGCCAAAGCCAATGCTAGCACGCGCTTACAATTAGGTGCGGTCCATACCACAATCAAGAAAAAAAAGATGTGATGTTTGATTGGAGCGAATTGAATGTAATGCCCAAACAAGCATACAGTACGAACGTGCCTATGAGAAAATCAGACACAATATATTCCCCAATTTTCTCATATCTTGGAAGCTAAGCATGCTTGAGTCTGGACAATTCTTGGATGGGTGACCACCATGCACGTGGGCTGTGCAGCAAAGATCCACTCTCGTTCTGCACTACCGCTCAAACTTCACAGACCTAGATGGTCAAATTACCCGCACGGCAGAGGTCGCAAACGGGTTTTGATTTCTTACCCGTACCTGGCCGCAACAGGGTCGCAAACGGGTACCCGGTTGCGACCTCTGCCTCACGGCCCACAAGGCGTAGGGAGGCCCTCATCCAGCAGTGGATTGACAAACGCGGGTTACAACTTGTACAATACTGCACAAGTAATGCCAGTCTCCTGTGATCGATATAATTAATTGCCAACACCTGAATCTAACACCTAGCCTTTAATAAAGGTGCAGTATGCACTGGGGTACAGCCACTGTACTGTAAAATAATTGGGAGCAATGCCATCTCCTGGAAAATATTTAACAATCCCCAAGCCACATACTCCCTCCGATGAGTTCATAATATGCCCACGCACGAAACAACCACAAATGTACCAGCACAGATAGACAGGTCGTGTTGCGGGAATGTACCAGTGTGTCACATTACACGTTTCATTAAATCTGCGGCGGTATATTTCATGTCACCACCACCACCATCATCATCACCCATGTTTAATCCACTGCTGGATGAAGGCCATCTCAAGCTGCCCCAATCCCATCTCGATTCTGAGATATAATCCACTTAGCACTTGCGCACAATCCGATTTAAAGCGCCACCTCCTTAATTAGACGTCCCGGCAGATCCTTCCCTAGCCTACAGTTGTAATGATGCCATTAATCAAATTTAACGTACTTATATTTTATTTTTTTACAAATGTATATACCATGATAGAATTACAACTCTGAAAGGTTGCATTGTACGGTAGTGTACTGGCTTGTATATAAATAAGGTAAGGACCTGTGGGCCAGTCACGAAATAACATCTTGAGTGAAGATTTCCCTGAATTGATATTGATCTCAATGGGAGAAAGGGTAATATTTATACTTGCACTTAAGTTGCGTTATTCAACCTTGCAGTGGTAATGCTACCTAGGTTACCGTGGGGCGCATTGCAGGGTATTAGGTAATATGTCCTTAAGAGGCAAGAGCATGGAGAAATGCCCCATGACTCTGGCTCGCAACGCAGTTCAGAATCAGCAAGAGCACCTCCAGAGAAAGCATGAGAAATACATCCATCTCCCTTCCCATGTGTCAAACATTCACCCCCAAAAATGTAAGCTGAAGAGTGTTTTGATTCTTACAACAAATTTTAAAGTTTGGCCTTGAATCATGAATTCTAACAGAGAGCATATTCCCTGACACAATTCAGTCATTTCAAAGCAGACAAATGTCATTCAATCCCACCATCATCCCATTGGCAGATCACTGATATTGATGTACCCTTCAACACAGTACTGTACCATTCTTTTGCAGTAAAAAGTGTGAAATACGTCAGTGCAGTGTCGTGCTTTTTAGCAAAGCCGTATACATTTGTGGACCACACTGCCACGGTCAAGTTCAATGGGCAGGTTTGCATGTGGTGGGGTAAAGTGTGATTACTCTCACTTCTTTCAAGACTCCTGGCCAGTGCAGAAGAGAGGCCAAATGACCTCTGTAGGAATTCGCTCCAGTCTCGACCTCCCTCGAGAAGTTAAAGGCCCTTCCGCCAGCAGTTAGCGTGAGCAGGCAATTGCAGGGCTGCGTCTTTACCTCTCTCCGTGGACATTTGCGGTGTGTGTGTGCATATTGCACGTGTTCAGGCCCTTGGTCAATCCACTGCTGGATGAAGCTGCCTCATTATTTGACCATACTTCACCATGGCTGGGGTGCATATAAGCACGGTGCAACACGTGTAATGCAGAATTGACGTGGACCAGTCGTGAGGTTGGGAATAACACAATAATTATAGAAAGACAACATTGTGTACGGCATTCTGCCTCGACCTTCAAATGCAGTGGCAGGTGGTGGTGATGGAAAGCGGATGAAACTGCTCTTGAACATGGGTTTACACCATACAAACAACAACACGTGAGCATTGCCAACACATGCAAAATAAAACTACAGTCCACCACCCAGTCTACAACACACGGGGCAGAATGGCAGAAAATAATTTGACCAAAAATGACCACGAAGGGGTTTGTAAATGTACTAATTGGCTTTTCTTTGATGAGCAAATGATAACACATCATCTACAATATTTCGGTAATTAACTAAATTATTACCCAATTACGTTTATTAGCCACTACCATAGTTACCGTGTTGTGATGTAAAAATGGATTAAGCCTGGCTCGGTTCAAGGTGGTGGTGGTGCTGATTTACAACCACCACGTGAATCCAAGTCATCGCTGTTCTGTTAAAACGTCGTAAATTATAATGATGTATATACGATATCAGCAATACTACACACACACGCTGCTATAACGGCTTGCTACAGTATATATATATTTAATTCACGCGCCAGTATAACACTGAATTAATATAACATTTAATCTCGCAAAAGCAAATGCGCTGGTTTTGCTGGTGGCTCTCTCACCAGAAGGCGACGACTCCAGATGAACGAGACGGAGTCGAGGACGACGATGCCGACAGTGATGAAGATGATGTAGATGATGGCTGGAACGCTTTAAGGAGGAGCTACTTAGAGGAGGAGGAGGAGGCTTGGTGGTGGTGATGATGATGATGGGGAGGAGGAGGAGATGATGGAGATTTGTCCGGTAGCTGCCTCCACCCACCGCCGCCCGTGCTGTGTGACGCGGGGGAGAAGGGGATGGAGCCGGGGGTAGAGAGTGACCTGCAGTAACCCCGGGGTCCCGCCTCTTACAACGGGAGGGAGGCAATGGGGAGCTGGGCTACACGTGGTGTAGAGAGGGGGTAGGGGGAGCTGGGGCACACGTGGTGTAGAGAGGGGGTAGGGGGAGCTGGGACACACGTGGTGTAGAGAGGGGGTAGGGGAGCTGGGCCACACGTGGTGTAGAGAGGGGGTAGGGGGAGCTGGGACACACGTGGTGTAGAGAGGGGGTAGGGGGAGCTGGGACACACGTGGTGTAGAGAGGGGGTAGGGGAGCTGGGACACACGTGGTGTAGAGAGGGGGTAGGGGGAGCTGGGACACACGTGGTGTAGAGAGGGGGTAGGGGGAGCTGGGACACACGTGGTGTAGAGAGGGGGTAGGGGAGCTGGGACACACGTGGTGTAGAGAGGGGGTAGGGGGAGCTGGGACACACGTGGTGTAGAGAGGGGGTAGGGGAGCTGGGCCACACGTGGTGTAGAGAGGGGGTAGGGGAGCTGGGCTACACGTGTGTAGAGAGGGGGTAGGGGGAGCTGGGACACACGTGGTGTAGAGAGGGGGTAGGGGAGCTGGACTACACGTGGTGTAGTGAGGGGGTAGGGGGAGCTGGGACACACGTGGTGTAGAGAGGGGGTAGGGGGAGCTGGGCTACACGTGGTGTAGAGAGGGGGTAGGGGGAGCTGGGCCACACGTGGTGTAGAGAGGGGGTAGGGGGGAGCTGGGCCACACGTGGTGTAGAGAGGGGGTAGGGGAGCTGGACTACACGTGGTGTAGAGAGGGGGTAGGGGGAGCTGGGCTACACGTGTGTAGAGAGGGGGTAGGGGGAGCTGGGCTACACGTGGGGTAGAGAGGGGGTAGGGGAGCTGGACTACACGTGGGGCAGAGAGGGGGGAGGGGGGGCTGGGCTACACGTGTGTAGAGAGGGGGTAGGGGGAGCTGGGCTACACGTGGTGTAGAGAGGGGGTAGGGGGAGCTGGGCTACACGTGGTGTAGAGAGGGGGTAGGGGGAGCTGGGACACACGTGTGTAGAGAGGGGGTAGGGGGAGCTGGGATACACGTGGGGTGTAGAGAGGGGGTAGGGGGAGCTGGGACACACGTGGTGTAGAGAGGGGGTAGGGGAGCTGGGACACACGTGGTGTAGAGAGGGGGTAGGGGGAGCTGGGACACACGTGGTGTAGAGAGGGGGTAGGGGAGCTGGGAAACACGTGGTGTAGAGAGGGGGTAGGGGGAGCTGGGACACACGTGGTGTAGAGAGGGGGTAGGGGGAGCTGGGACACACGTGGTGTAGAGAGGGGGTAGGGGAGCTGGGCCACACGTGGTGTAGAGAGGGGGTAGGGGGAGCTGGGACACACGTGGTGTAGAGAGGGGGTAGGGGGAGCTGGGACACACGTGGTGTAGAGAGGGGGTAGGGGAGCTGGGCCACACGTGGTGTAGAGAGGGGGTAGGGGGGAGCTGGGACACACGTGGTGTAGAGAGGGGGTAGGGGGAGCTGGGACACACGTGGTGTAGAGAGGGGGTAGGGGAGCTGGGACACACGTGGTGTAGAGAGGGGGTAGGGGGAGCTGGGACACACGTGGTGTAGAGAGGGGGTAGGGGAGCTGGGCCACACGTGGTGTAGAGAGGGGGTAGGGGAGCTGGGCTACACGTGTGTAGAGAGGGGGTAGGGGGAGCTGGGACACACGTGGTGTAGAGAGGGGGTAGGGGAGCTGGACTACACGTGGTGTAGTGAGGGGGTAGGGGGAGCTGGGACACACGTGGTGTAGAGAGGGGGTAGGGGGAGCTGGGCTACACGTGGTGTAGAGAGGGGGTAGGGGGAGCTGGGCCACACGTGGTGTAGAGAGGGGGTAGGGGGAGCTGGGCTACACGTGGTGTAGAGAGGGGGTAGGGGAGCTGGACTACACGTGGTGTAGAGAGGGGGTAGGGGGAGCTGGGCTACACGTGTGTAGAGAGGGGGGAGGGGGGGCGGGGCTACACGTGGTGTAGAGGGGGGGTAGGGGAGCTGGACTACACGTGGTGTAGAGAGGGGGTAGGGGGAGCTGGGCTACACGTGTGTAGAGAGGGGGTAGGGGGAGCTGGGCTACACGTGGTGTAGAGAGGGGGTAGGGGGAGCTGGGCTACACGTGGTGTAGAGAGGGGGTAGGGGGAGCTGGGACACACGTGTGTAGAGAGGGGGGTAGGGGGAGCTGGGATACACGTGGGGTGTAGAGAGGGGGTAGGGGGAGCTGGGACACACGTGGTGTAGAGGGGGTAGGGGAGCTGGGACACACGTGGTGTAGAGAGGGGGTAGGGGGAGCTGGGACACACGTGGTGTAGAGAGGGGGTAGGGGGAGCTGGGACACACGTGGTGTAGAGAGGGGGTAGGGGGAGCTGGGACACACGTGGTGTAGAGAGGGGGTAGGGGGAGCTGGGGACACACGTGGTGTAGAGAGGGGGTAGGGGAGCTGGGACACACGTGGTGTAGAGAGGGGGTAGGGGGAGCTGGGCTACACGGGGTGTAGAGAGGGGGTAGGGGGAGCTGGGCTACACGTGGTGTAGAGAGGGGGTAGGGGGAGCTGGGACACACGTGGTGTAGAGAGGGGGTAGGGGGAGCTGGGACACACGTGGTGTAGAGAGGGGGTAGGGGGAGCTGGGCTACACGTGGTGTAGAGAGGGGGTAAGGGGAGCTGGGCTACACGGGGTGTAGAGAGGGGGTAGGGGGAGTTGGGACACACGTGGTGTAGAGAGGGGGCAAGGGCTCTAGGGGACCTGGGTTTGCACGTGGGGTGTAGAGAGGGGGTAAGGGGACCTGGATTTGCACGTGGAGTGCAGAGGGGATAAGGAGAGCTGGGATATTCGTGGTGTAGAGAGGGGGTAGGGGCTGTAGGGGACCTGGGTTTGCACGTGGGGTGTAGAGTGGAGCTGGGATACACGTGTGGCATACAGATTGAATGAGGTCTGTTATAGGACCTGGATTGCACGTGGGCTATAGAGGGGACAAGGGGAGCTGCAATGCACGTGGAGTATTATCGATGGAATAAGGGCCCGGAGGGTGACTGGGTTTTCACACGTGGGGCTACAGAGGGGAGTTTAAAGATGAAGGTGTTGGGGCTTGGGGGAGACGAGGAGGGGGGGGGCAGCAGCAGGCGTCACGCGCGGGGTGTGCCGGGAAACTGGACCCCACGCACGTGGTTGCAGACGCTGCTGGTTCTGTATAGGGGAAACCGGTGTGGCATACAACACACACACACGTGTTGCTGTAACACACAACACGTGTTGCTGTAACACACAACACACACATGTTGTGTGTTACAGCAACACGTGTGTGTGTGTTGTGTTACACACCATGGTGAAAAAAAATGCTGTACGGTGTTTATATGGATTCTAGATATTAAACTTTAGTGACTGCAAGGATTCATACTCTTAGGTTTTTTCGGTAAAGTCACGTAGGTAAGAATAAATAATAAAAATAATAGAAATAATAATTGAAATATTGTGATTTATAATTGTATATGGATATCAGAAACTCAGTTTGACATGACGATACAACCATAATACTGTAGAGGGTTTTTTTGTCGGTTAGATCGCGAAAATGTGTCGTTAAACCCGCCACCACCCGACACAGCCAATTAGTAGTAAGGTTTGTCACGTAAACAGAACGTGGCCAATTCGTTAAACGTAAAGCAGCACTCCGGTGTGTTGGAGAGCAAATCCACAAAGTTCACACTGAAGATACCAGCTCTTTTCGATTTAAAGCTTTCGTGATTGCAGGGATTCATATTATTGGTTCTTTCGGTAAAGTCACGTAGAAGGGAAATAATGAAAAAATTACATAGTAAAATAAAATTCTCACGACGTTTCAGCCACAACACAAGCAGCCGTCCTCAGGTGCAGACAGAGCTGTCTGAAAGACAACGTTTAGCAGTGTTCATTGGAGCGTTGTCTTTTAGACAGCTATGTCTTCACCTGAGGACGGCTGCTTGTGTTGTGGCCGAAACGTCGTAAGAATTGTATTTTATTATGTTTTATTATTTTATTATTTCCCTTCCACGTGACTTTACCGAAAGAACCAAGACGATACCAGCTCTATATGGCAGGAACGTACTGCGTAATAAAGGCGCAGCCCTGCAATTGCTGGCTCACGTCACTGCTGGTGGAAGTGGCCCCAGCTAGAGGGAGCGCTAGAGAGTGTCTGCCTAGAGGGTTTATTGGCCTGCTGTACATAAAATACACAAAGCAAACACTTATGCCAGTGTGTGTGTGCTCTGATTATATTCTTAAGGGTATTATACATCTTGGGAACATGAGTACAGCTGGATAATTCCCTTAAGGTAATCATTGTAGACCACGATACGCGTTATATAATAAGCAGTTACACTGCACCGATTTCGAGTGACTCGTGTATTTATCTATTTGTGAATATTGTTCCCATCACTGGGTGTAGCTGCACAATTACAGTACAATATAAACGCATGTACGACAAGAGCATTGTATTCCCAGAGTGTGCATGTAATATTCCCGTGTTAAATGTCAGCACATGTGCAAAGCATACTAGTTTAGTACTTGTTAATAGGTTTTTTTACCCTTTTACCTGGCAACAAAACTGACACCTTTTTTACAAGGAGTCATGTTTGCATTGACCACAATACCTGCAGTCAGAATGTAAACAAAAAACACAACTCTGATAATGTATGCACTGTCCTTGAAATTGATTGGTCCACACCCGAGACAACTTTTCTTAGAGCCTAGTCTCACATGGTGTTGGACCAGATGACCCCAAAAGGCACACTTGCCATCGCTATTCGTACAGCATGCAGTGTACCGCAAGTTACTGTATCATAACCACTTGTTACCACCAAGTATAGCAGTTGTTACATTACACACAGTAGTGTGCATGCATTGATACTATTGATGCATTCAGTAAATATGCTAACGTTCTCAACGTTGACGTGTGGTTGCAACCCTTGGGGTCAACGTTACATGACAATTAAATTAGTCCA